CCTAGTTCATAGATTCAATCTGAAGAAATTGGTTGATCCAAATGTGAATTCTGTCATTCATTATTTGGCTCAAGATCAGAAGAAGCCTCTTCTCTGTTCCCTTTATTTTGCTGCTGCGCCTTCATTTTCACTCGGTCTTCATCTCAAGTTGTTGAATGAGAAAGACACAGCTTCTCTTTGTTCTGGAGACTTCAATATAGTTTCTTCACAAAATTATGCAGACAATAATGATAAATTGACAGCTGATGGTCACACTTCTCTTGAGGATCCTTTTAAGCATGCTCCGGAAAAGCTTGATAACTTAATATCCTCTTTGAGCGAGGCTGAAGCAACTCATGGAAGACCAAGCTTAGATGCTTTGTCTGCTGGGAGTAATAGTGATTTGAATAGAGTTACTAAGAATTTCTTTACTAGCGAGGATAATGTGATTCAGAATTCTGTAGATAGTAGTGCTGTGGGGAAAAGCATTAGTGGTGAGGGAGTTGTTCAATATGGAAGATTCCAATGTGAGGATGGAACATCTCAATTTGCTGAGGATACTTGTTCTGAATGTCCTGAACAGTCTTCTTTTACAGACAAGTCTCTTGCTGGAGGATGCAGTTCTTTTGTCAAAACTGCCAATGTGGAGGTTCAATTGTTTGAAGTTGAAAAACATTCTCTTCATAAGGGATTGCTGTCTGCTGACTCTACATCCAACTTGGTTCTTGATCTGAATGAACACACAATCCACAGTCCAACTGCTCCACGAAGCATGTGGCATCGCAATCGGCACACTTCACTTTCACGGACATTTATTCACCACCCAAGATTGGGTTCAAAAGATGATGTAGAAAATGCTTTCACTAGTGGCTACAAAAGGCCCCGGACCCAGGTTTCATATTCACAATTATCTGGAAGTTATGGACACGCTGCAAAATCCCAAAGCAATCACCAGAAGGTACAATCTCATAAAAAAGTTAAGACTGTTATTGCAAATGTTTCATCCAATTGTTCCAGAAGTCATCAAAGTTACCTGGACTCGTTAGCCTGTGATGCTAATGTCCTTGTCACTCATGGAGACAAATGTTGGAGAGAATTTGGAGCCAAGGTTCAACTTGACTGTGATGATCAGAAGAATTGGAGGATAATCATAAAGGTTTCAGGGGCTATTAAATATGCCTACAAGGCACACCATGTTCTGCAGCCTGGAACCACAAATCGTTACACTCATGCTATGATGTGGAAAGGGGGAAAAGAATGGATGTTAGAGTTCACTGACAGAAACCAGTGGTATATTTTCAAACAAATGCATGAAGAATGCTACAACCAGAACATTAGGGCTGCTTCTGTTAAGAACATTCCCATTCCGGGAGTTCGCCTACTTCCAAATGGTGATGATGGTTGTGTTGAAGTGCCTTTCATTCTCAGTTCATCGAAGTACTTTCGGCAGGTGGGAACTGAGGTTGACTTGGCCCTGGATTCTTCTCATGTGTTGTATGACATGGACAGTGAGGACGAGGAATGGATATCCACAGTGAGAGCTAATATGGATGCCAAGGATAATATAATGACTGAGGTTACAGATGATATGTTTGAGAGGGTCATGGACATGCTTGAAAAATTTGCATACACTCAACAATGTGAAGAGATCACCAATGATGACATAGAAAAATACATGGCTGATGATGGACCAGCAGACACAATTAAAGTTATTTACGAGCATTGGAGGCAAAAGAGAAGGAAAAAAGGTTTACCTCTGATTCGGCAATTTCAGGTGAGTCTAAATTGGTTTACATTTTTTATGCTAGTCTGTTCTCTTTCTCATATGAATAAACTTAAGTATGCTGCTTGATTAAGTCTGCTGCCAGATAGCTGATTTGCTCATCAATTGTTTTAGGGTTTAGACTATATATGTTAAGGTGCTAAATGTCTGCTAATTTCTTGAAGTCTATTTCCTATCACTTTATTCATGAAAATTGTACTTTCTTTTCATGCATCACATGTTTGCAGCATACACAAACTATATGACTATGGTCGCCTGTTAGTGTTAAACAATTAGCATGTTGATTAAGTTAATGTAGCTCTTTTACTGGATTATGACGGACACAGATTCAAAGTTGCTAGCAGTTCTATTGGAACTGGTGTTGTATTTATCACACATTGAATTGGTTCCAGGAAAGCAAAGGCCTGGAAGTACTTTAATGTTTGACTACATGAGAGCAATCAGAACTTCAGAAGTTTCCAAGATGCCTAGTTCTTGAAAACTTGAATTTGGCTAGGAATCAGCTGTAGTTAAGCTCCAAGAACTGATGCATGAGAAGAATTTTTTTTTTTAATGCACTTAATCTTGAGCATGATTGCATGCTGATTTAGCTTTTTTTTTTAAGTTGGGTTTTAACCAAAATGATAAAAAAATATTTTTTTGGAAATTTCATTGAACTTTCATGTCTTACTCTCATATACCAACCAATAGAAGCCTAATTTTGGTAGTTTGAAGTTTTAGTTCCATGAGACTATATTTCCGAAATTCCTATACCCCGGCATGCTCATCAATTGATGGGATTTATTTCTAAGTTGATTCTTAAAGTTCTGATGCCTGGATCTTGTTTTGAGCACTTTGCATTTTAATGAAATTGCTGCTATCTTCTAATTCTCCTGTATTATTTTTTTTGTCTTACTATGTTTTCAAGTCATTTGCATATGAATGCTATGTAATGTCATATTTGTGTTACCTTGAGAAATTACTATACAGTAAGTAAGCACGACAAAATGTCCAGTGCTTATTTTACCACCTTTTGTCAAGAAAAACCAAAAGCGACAAATCCAAGGAGAAATCTTAGGATATCTAAGTTAGTGAGGCCTACATATTCAACTGTTTCGATCATTATCGACTGCCAAGCATTACAACTTATTCAACTGTTTCTATCATTGTCAGCTACCAAGCATGACAATGAAATCCCTATTCTTCCATTGAATTGCCAACTACGTATGAAGTTGGAACGAACTGTGATTCCATCACAATGATTGAAACTGATTTTACTTAATCTGATCGATTTTGACAGATCTAATTGTAGCCTTTTTCCATTTATTTAACAAATGACCTATTATTAAACTATGCTGGATCTGTTTAAATGCTCATTTGCTTCTCTTTTCTTCGAAAGTTAAGGATGACCCTTGGCCCGTGGTTGTAATCATCTGATGATTGCAACAATCCTTAAACGCCTCTTTTTGGTACGATAAAGTGCTTAATCTCATCTAGTCTTATTTCATGGCTTTTCAGCCTCCTCTGTGGGAACTTCACCAGCAGCAACTAAACCAATGGGAATCAAACATGAACAAAACGCCACTGCAGCCCGTAGGCTGCCATGAGAAAGCACATTCATTGAAGAAACCGCCTATGTTTGCCTTCTGTTTGAGACCGCGAGGCTTGGAAATACCAAACAAAGGTTCAAAGCAGAGGTCTCACAAGAAGCTCATATTCACTGGCCACCATAATGTTTTAATGAGAGAACAAGATTGTTTCCATACACCGGGTACTTCTATTATTTTTTATTTTTTATCCTAATTCTTTGGCTTCTTTGTTGATGGTGTTCCTGTTTCTTGTTGTACCAGGGAGAAAAACGGATGGAATTTCAGTTGGCGAGGTTGCTATCTCGAGCTATGAATCTTCCGATTCTTATCATGGGCCTCAGTCTCGATCTACCTTTTCACCAAGGGATACTGCAAGCACAGAATCCTTTTTCACTAATGATGGATCAGAGAGATGTCCAGACCCAAAATTTTACAGAAGTACTTCAAAGAAGTTTGATCCGTTCCTGTCTCCCAGGGATCCTCAAGGGTCACCATTCTCAGGTAATCAAAGATCAAATAGGAATGGACTTAATAGATGGAGTTCTGAACTTTGTGAATGGTCCAACACAAGGCAATCTCAATCTACTGGTTTTCATAGACATCATGCCGACATGGATGAGTTCAGGTTGCGCGATGCAACAAGTGCAGCTCAGCATGCATTAAACATGGCCAAGCTTAAGAGAGAGAAAGCACAGTGGTTGCTACACAAAGCAGATCTTGCCCTTCATAGAGCTACGGTTGCACTTATGACTGCAGAGGCAATAAAAGCGTCTGAGAAAGATATTGTCGGTGATGGATAATATATCGATATCGTGGATTTACTGGTCAGCAGTTTTTCATAAGTTTTATATCATTTTGCTGGACAACAGCTCTTTTGGAAAGTGACTTTGGCATCATTTTCTTGCAAGAGATCATTATAGTCTGAATGAATACCCATGAATTCAAAGTGATATTGACACATGGACGCCGCGTGCAGACAGAATTGCTCTTTGAAAATTTTGCTCAGCTGCTTCAGTTTAACGATATCAGCTTCCTGCTGTAGCTTGCGTCGATGGGGATTCGTATCCCCGGAGGTAGTGTGTAGTTTTTGGTGCTAATTTTGTACAGAAATTTTCCGTCTTCTACATGTATTCCTGAAATCTCTAATGATAGCGCCTTTGGTACTAAATTTTACGCCCACTGAAATTTTCTTTCTTATTGGATTACTGGCTATCTGATGAGTGAAGTCGATAATATGTTGTTCGTTTGTACTCGTCATTTCTGAAATTATATATTACCCAGTGTTGATCACTTCAAAATTCCAAAATGTAAGTGAAGTGTGTGAACTTAATGTTATGAGCATCACGAGATACGGAGATCTTTCCATCATTTTATACTGTTGTATGTTTTCTAAGTTTAGATTAATAATATATCCATGTGAAATCTTTCATTCACGACAGTCTTTTATTTGCTTTTAGAGAAATGGAAATGGATTTTTAATTTGAATATTGGATGACTATGAACTGCAATAATGGGAAACATTGGATGTTTTCGATCAGATGTTGTCGTACATTAGATCTCCACTTGGCTCGGTACGTACCACCAATTGCAGGCGCTCGTCAGCTATATATAACAATTGACAGCAGAGTCATCGTCGTCCACAGGCTCACACCCACAGTTCTTGGTGGCCACTCGATAATGGAGCTGAAGCAGCAGCAGCACTTCTTGGTGGCCACCTTCCCCTTCCAAGGCCACATCAATCCGGTCCTCCACCTCGCCAAGCACCTCGCCCACTCCGCCGCCGGCCCCCTCGTCACCTTCTCCACCACCCTCTCGGCTCACCGACGCATGTTCCCCTCGGCCCCCGACCACCACGACGTCTACGACGGCCTCCTCTCCTACGTCCCCTTCTCCGACGGCTTCGACGACGGCGACCGTGGCGGCTTTGCCGGGTTCAACCGTTTCATGGCCGAGTTCAAGGTCACCGGGCCCCGCAGCCTCTCCAGCATCGTCGCCGGCCTCGCCGCCCGCGGCCGCCCCGTCACGTGTATCGTCTACACCATGCTCCTCCCCTGGGCCGCCGACGTGGCGCGCGAGTACGGCATCCGCTCCATCCATTACTGGATCCAGCCGGCCACCGTGTTCGCCGTATATTACCACTACTTCCATGACTACGGTGCTGTCGTGGACGCCCACCGCGACGACCCCTCGTTTACGTTGACCTTCCCGCGGCTGCCGCCCTTCAAGATTAGCGACGTCCCGTCCTTCCTCACCTCGCCTGTGGACCACCCTCTCTCCTCCGTCTACCTGACCTTGCGCGAGGCGTTTGCGGCGCTGGACACTGAGAAGGCCGCATCCTCGTCGAAGCCGAGGGTCCTCGTTAACACGTTCGACGAGCTGGAGCCGGACGCGCTGGCGGCGGTGGACGAGATCGACATGCTGACCATCGGGCCACTGATTCCGTCCTGGTCGTTCTCTGGCACCGCCGCTCCCAAAGACACCGAGACTGGCGCCGGCGGCGACATCTTCAAGCCAGACGACAAGGGGTACATGGAGTGGCTGGACTCGCAGCCGGAGTGGTCGGTGGTGTACGTCTCCTTCGGGAGCTTGCACCACTTCACCAAGCGAGAGCTGGAGGAACTGTCGGCGGGCCTGGAGGAATGTGGCCGGCCGTACATGTGGGTGGTGCGGCGGGACAATAGGGAAGAGGGGAACCTACGAGAAGGGAGCGGTCAAGGGATGGTAGTGGAGTGGTGTTCGCAGGTGAAGGTGCTGTCGCACGCGGCGGTGGGCTGCTTCGTGACCCACTGCGGGTGGAACTCGATGCTGGAGAGCCTAGCGTGCGGCGTGCCGACGGTGGGCGCGCCGCGGCTGTCGGATCAGAGGACGAACGCGAGGATGGCTGACGGCGCGTGGGGGACCGGGGTGACCGCGGAGCTCAGCGAGGACGGCGTGGTCGAGGCCGGGGAACTGAAGCGGTGCGTGGAACTGGTGATGGGGGAGGGGGAGGGAGGCAAGGAGATGAGGAAGAAGGCAGAGCAGTGGAAGGAGAGAGCCCGGGCGGCCGTCAGCGAAGGAGGGTCGTCGGATCGGAATCTGACGGCATTCCTTGAGGAGATCGGAAAAGGGTCGTAACGAACAATTGCAGTGGCAAGCAATATTTAGAATAAATAAACCTCTTTTATTTTCGATGCCGAACATTTGTCATTGATGACCGTAATGTAACTCTTTTGTTGTGTCTCGTGGATTCAATCTGATCACGTTTATCTCACCGTCCGATGGAACGAATCATCATTGATCTCGTCAAGATTCCAATCGCTACACCACAGATGGATGGGACCCAGACGTGACCCTGTTGCCGACAGGACCGTTTACCTCACCCGTCGCGTCGCTCTCTGTGTCGTCACGTGAGTGGGAAGGAGGCGGCACTCGCGCGGGAAAACAAAGGCGCCGATGAAATGGGAAGAAGACTCAGTCAGAAAGGGCACTCTCTTGCGTCGTCTCGTCTTCCTCTTCTGTGTCTCCTTCAATCTTTCGAGGGTACAAACGAAAAAGAGAGGAGCGCACTCTTTTCCGCCACAGGTCATCGAGACTTCGAGACTATCGATCAAGTCCAACAGGCCTTGCCCGATCTCCGCATTCGGAGTTGTTCATCTCGTCTTGGGTTCCCCTCCGAATCCCCAGTTGGAAGCCAAAATCGGTAAGGTCTTGATCATCTCTGCTTTATGTCTTAGATAGCCGTGAGATCCGGTTGATGTAGGCATACTCCATTTTGGCCACTAATTTGAATTTCGAAAGGAATGGCTGACTTTAGAGGAAGATAGTGATGCTCGATGAGGATTAGAAGAATGAGAAGATAATTCGAGGGCATCAATTGGACTGATGTGGTGTTATTTTTGTAGCACATTCTTGTATCATACAAAATTGGTTCTGTTCTAAATCACATTAGGTTTTGACTGTATTGGACTACTCTTAAGCTACTGTACTTTGTAGAGGAAGTTAATTCTGATAAATCTGCAGCAATCAATTATTGTTGTTAGTTTCTACAGTCTAAGTTTCTTTAGACCGGCCAAACTCGTAGTCAACTGACTTTTATTTTCCCTGCTAGGAGAATAAATGTAAAGTCATGCATATATTGTGAAGTTAGATCTGTAGACAAATTGAATACACAACTTTGATCAATAGTGTTAGGTATATGCATAAAAAATGCAAAAGAATAAGTAGGACACATTAATATTAGAACTAAATGATCGAATGTAAAGGTCAAAGTAATCGCTCTTCTAGAAAAGTCTAACTCAGTAGTTTGAGACAAAATGGTATGCTATTATCAGAGTAGTTTGAGACTTGCAAGAAAAATGATATAGTATCACATGGAAATATATTGCTTGGAGATTATAACAGTCATCGCATATCTTTGAGGACGATGAATTGGTGGTTTGATGAAATCCAAGATGAAACTATGATGGAAGAACATGAGATAATGTTGCTATTAGTTTACCTAAGGAGATAAAGATGAAGTAGAACAAAAATATTACAAAAAAATGGCCAGGATTACTGAAATTGGCCTTACTATTCAATAAGAAATTGTACTACCAAAATTATATTGTCTTAAAGAAAGCTATGATGTTTTCTCCTTTTTTTGTTTTTCTTATTAAAGGTTTTACTTTATGTTGACCTAGACTGATGAGATAAGATAATTGTTAATGGATTATACTTTCTTATGATATGTATTCCCACAGCTTAGAGTATAGATAATAAGACTTCTCTTCCGGCTTCCTATGCTTTTAGGTTGGGGTGTCTATTCTGTTTTATTCACTTTTTACACTGGGTCCTGGGAGTTCTGTATGAATGGCTGATCTTGAATACTCTTGTATTAGGATGGTTCTCACGGGAGTCTTGATGATTACAGTAAAAGAAATGAGCGTTTGCTTAAGTAATTTTTTTCCTTGTTTAGGAGTTTGTGGTTTGCATCTTATCAAGGAGATTGTTATTTAGGAAACTAAATTGTGAGAAGCCCTCTCTAGCAGAGTCCATACCTTGTCCCAGATAATTCTAACATATGTACGCATGACTGTACTGTTGGAAGTGAGGCATCGCCCGACATGTCTAGTCGACTCACTAACAGAGAAAAGGATTAGGTGTTTTATGATGGTCTCAAATTTAAATCTACAAGTGAGTTGACTCAACCCAAAAAATCGGAAATAAAAATATATTGTTTGACAATAAGAACAAAAGAGAGCATAGAATGAAGTCAAAACAAATACATCTTAATCTGTCAATGGTGATGATCTGGTGGTTGCTAGATTTTGTGATGGTCGGTCATGGATGCCTGAGTAATGACTATATTTTAATACATGAGATCCTGTGAGAAAAAGGTCCAATAAACTAGATTGTCAGATTCTTGGTAGCTTTGATCTGCTGACAACTTTACTGGAAATTTAACCTGGACGTAGTGGTGTGGCTTGTATGTTCCACCTTGAGTCAATGGAGAAGGGTACATGACTTGAGTCAGAGGGAGCATGGAATACCATACTCAGGTTTATATTAAGAAAAAAAGAATGAGAAGGAAAAAACTGCAGGTGTGCAAACAGAGACTGTTGAACTTGGGTTGCCAGTAGGTGTGCTTCCATATCTTAATCTTTTCAGTCAGTATACCAAAAATAAATAGATGTTGTGTTGAACTTGGGTTGGTAGTAGATGTGCTGCCAAATTTTAATATATGTCAGCCGGTATAGACACCTCTCCTTATATTGCATCGTCAGCAATATAGTGTGGTATACATCAGGGTTATGTCCGGTACACACTGAAACTATGATCCTTGCATCTAATTTCCTGGAATCAGCTGACAATGCTGTCATAGACCTTCTATCATATTGTACAATGAGATATGATGGACTAAGACATGTATGCATCAGATCTTCTAATATGTCACTGAATCACACCCTTGTGTCATTTGATTTTTTTTTTTTTAATCTGCGGGGAGGGTCAGTAAGTCCCAAAAGACATACTAGCTGTAACATTGATGTTTATTTTCATTGTAGTGCAAGACTATGGTGTTTTAAGAATAGTCATTTGATTTATTTTCGCTCTATAGGCATATAAATGCCCCAAAGTACATACTAGCTGTAATTTTGATTATTTTTTTCATCCTAGTGTAAACTTTTTGTGTTCCGCTAAATAGTTTCTTTGTATTATTCCTGTTAAGTAACATTTGCATAGTTTTTTAAACTCTGATTTTGTTGGTCTAACAACGCTAACATACAAAATCTTGACAGGAGCCACAGTATGTTTGCACAAACCTCTGGACTTGTATTCTTTGTCGGCATGGTATCATTCCCACTTAATTTAGCTTTCTTGTAAATTTGTTCTCCTGTTGTGGTTCACCCACCATGTTAAACCCATATGTTTCTAAATTTACTGCTCTTCAAGGAAATGATCAGATATTTCATAAAAGTAATAACATGAAGCCTATTAAGGTGCCCTCTGTGAGAGACATCTTGGGTGATGTAATGGACTCAGTGTTGCTGATGATTCTGCACGGACGAAGGTGAGTTTTTAAGTTGCTGATGGAATGACTACTTGCATATCAAACTGATGTCGCATCTTTGTTTCACGCAAGTCGTATTAGAAGCCATACTACCAATCAGGGATGTTTTGCATATCACATGCTTATTGCGTATCTTCTTTCGAGTATACTTCTTCCTGCCATATGAATTTGATAACTCATCAATGTCTTGTGATTGTTGTCCCCTTTGTCATTAGGCAAAGCTGCTCTTACTTAAGTTGATGTATTCTTATTTCTTTGGTGTTAAAGCAAACAAAGCTGGCAAAAAGAAGATGAATCATTTTCCAAGGATACAACAACGACAAGAACAAAGTCAAAAATCATAACTATCGGGAGGTGGTCATATGAATCTTTTATCGTCTACAATTGTCTCCCATAGCCAGCGATGATGAAGGAAGGGACTTTCCCCACATTGCAGCAGCAACGTGATAGGTAGGTGGCTTTCATAAAGGTGGAGGCCCTCTTTCATTCGACAGGTAGATCTGTAGTCGCAGTCGATCGCAATTTCTTTCCACTTCCTTGGAAGGGGGTAAAACTACTTACCATCGACTGCTTCCTAATCGTGCACTCTTCTTTTTAGTTGGTCAGTGGCTTAAATGTGCATGCAAACGATCTAATTTTCTGTGCCATTGAAGTTTGTCCTTTGTCTTGTTCCACAGGAACAGTCTTTAAGCATCTGCTTCCGTGCTCTGTACCATGCAGAGACAAGTTCTGTACTGTTTACAGCAACGAGGACACCGTGCAGATGCCTGAAAACTCATCCTCCGCAGCTCATCGGAAATAACCAGTATGTAAGAGCTGCCATTCTCTCGCATTGTAGTCTTTTCCTAACTTTATGAGGTAATCGATTGCATGATTTATGATTGTTGTCCACAGAATTATTTGGAGAGCGACACAAAAATCCAAGGAAATGAAAAGACGTTCCTCCATCCATCTCGTCCTTTTGCGCCTTCTTTTATCAATGCCCATCTGGTATACGATGATAGTGTGGAAGCAAATGGGATTCGGTGAACATGGGTGGGAATCATTGGATCCTTCTCGATCTGACATCGTTATTCCACGACGAGTACCTGATGAAATGCGCTCAAACGAGGAACAACTGCTAGGCCGAGTTGGGACAGACTTCCACCGATGAAGATGCTAATCCATGTATGTATGCATCGGTGCAACGAATGTGAGTATCGGTGTCATATAAGTTTTTTTTTATTTTTATGAATTAAATTTAGATCGATCCATCGATCCATCCATCCATCCGCTAAGGGTTTATGTACGTATGACAGTGACTCTGTTTCTCTCTCTTGCCGCAGCAGCGAATCAATACGCCTTATGGCGACCGCTCTTAACTCGTCCTCGACTCGGTGGGCCCCACGGCCCAGCTGGGTTGCAGCCCTTTCCGTGGACGACACGCAACACGAGAAAGAAACCCGGGCTCGCGACTTGCGGCACGACGTCAACGTCACGAGTTGGACTCCACCGTTATCGTGATGGTGCCGCGGAGTTAACGCCCTCATGTGCCGCTGCTGCCGTTCCTCGTCGGCTCATCAAAGCGGAGCGGGGCGGGGCGGGGCCCGCCGCATGTGCAAGGTAGGTGCTTTAATCGACGGCGATGCCCTTCTTCCTATTCCCCGCTAAGCGTGGTGGGCAAGCCGATCACCAAGTCAACACCGGCATCATCATCTTTGTCACCGCCGCATAAAGAATTAGGCATGCGGCGAAAGAAGCTCGCAATCATCACCGACTGGTTCTCGATCCAACCAATGGAGGAATTCCCACATCCAAACCCACATGCTGCATCTCAGTACTTGATGTAGAACGCGTCCAGCTCAAGGCTTTCTCCTACTGAATCCAAAGCTTTGATCTACAGAAACGATGGAGGTTGAGAAGATTTTAGCAAAAGAAGGCAGCTTTACGTGATATAAACCCAATCGAGAGTAATCCACCGGTGTTCATAATATGAGAAATACAAGTGAGAAGAACAAACAAAGTATAGCAAGAAGATAGTGATGCCACAATTTGATCTGCATGTCTGCAATCTCTCATGTTCTCTATACATACATTTGACGCTGCACCCTACGATCTCGATCTGTCAACCATTTATTCACAAGCCCAAACCATTAAATTACTGTGGAGAGGTTCCTGCTCTTCCCCCTTCGTCTTGCACAGTGTCCGCCGATTCTCTGAGCTGTAGTGGTAGGAAATGCTAATTGGCGGAGAATAATGACGGTAAGGATTGCTGCCTGATAATGGAGGAGGAGGAGGCTAGCAATCAACGAATGAATTAATAGAAAGGAGGGGGAGGAGGCGAGGCGTATGTGACTCCGACGACGGGTGGCAATGGAGCTTCGTAGTAAGGTGTTGGCGGAGGTGGTGAGGTCTCCGGTGGTCCTGTACATGGTGGAGGCGGGGGTGGAGATGGCGGTGGTGGCGGAGGGGGATAAACTGGTGGAGGTGGTGGTGGCGGCGATGGAGGAGGCGGGGATGGGGGTGGCGGAGATGGAGGTGGAGGGGACGGTGGAGGCGGAGGAGGTGGTGACGGCGGTGGCGGAGATGGCGGAGGTGGTGACGGAGGTGGAGGTGATGGTGGAGGCGGGGAAGGTGGCGGCGGTGGGGGAGAGTAAACCGGCGGCGGGGGAGACGGCGGAGGCGGGGAAGGTGGTGGCGGCGGGGGAGAGTATACCGGCGGGGGCGGAGACGGCGGAGGCGGAAGCGCCCGCACGAACGGCTTGCACCGGAACGAACTACAGTCCACCGGGTGCGACAAGAACGACCCGCACTGCTTGCCCGACCGCTGCAACGGTCGCTCGGGCAGGCAGTTTCTCCGGTCGTCGAACGACTGCACCTTCAAGCACGACGGCGGCTCGCCGGTGAAGAAGTTGTAGGAGAAGGTGAAGTTCTGCAGGTGCGGGAGCTCGCAGATGGATTCTGGAATGCACCCTGACAGCAGGTTGTGAGCGACGTCCAGCTGCTCGAGGCTGACCATGCCGCCGATCTCCTCCGGCAGCGGCCCCAGCAGCTCGTTGAAGCTGACGTCGAACACGGTGAGCTTCTTGAGAAGGCCGATCTCGGGCGGGAGGCAGGACCGCAGCCCGTTGTTCATGAGGATGATCTCGTTCAAGGTGTTCGACATATTGCCGATGCTGGCCGGAAAGCAGCCGCGGAAGCGGTTGTTGGCGAGGACGATGACGGAGACAGGGGAGTTGCCGAAGTTGTCAGGGATGTCGAAGGCGAACCGGTTGTGGTTGATGAAGATGGCGTCGAGGGGCTTGTCGAACAGCTCGCGAGGGACGCCGCCCTCGAACTCGTTGAACCGGATGTCGAGGAATTTCAGCGACGGAAGCTCAAGGAGGACCCCGGGGAACTTGCCGGCGAAGCGGTTGTTGCTGATGTCGATCTCGAAGAGACGAGTGAGTTGGCGGAACTTGTGGGGGACGGTGCCGCAGAAGCGGTTGGAGTTGATGTGGAAGAGGGCTAGATCGGTCAAGAGACCGAGCTCCTCGGGTAGGTACCCGGCAATGTCGCCGTGGTTGAGGTCGATGCCGGCGACGACGGTGAGGGAGCCGTTGCAGGGGAGCGAGGCGCAGTAGACGCCGTAGTAGTGGCAGACGTCGGGGCCGACCCAGTTGCCGGTGAAGTTGTGGGGATCGGAGAGGATGGCCTGCTTCCAAGCCTGCAGGGCGACGTAGGCGGCGCGAAGACCGGGGTTGGCGAAGTGGAAGGACGGGTCGACCGTCACCCGCTCGCCGCGGTCGCCGTACTCGTCGAGGTAGTACAGCAGCTGCCGCCTACGGATGAGTCCGGCCTCGGCGTCCGTGAGGCCATGGCGGCTGAAAGCAGCCGCTCTCACCGCCGCAAATGCCGCGAACGAGACGAGGAAGAGGAGGAAGAGGAGATGCGTCGCTGATCCGCTTCTTCTCCTCATCTCATTCTGAAGACAACAATCACGCGTATGGAGGGGAGAAGGAGATCCAGAGAGGGGAGGAGGAGTGGGGAGAGCAGGGAAAGGCGTTCGTTCTCAAGGTGTTCGGAGGAAAGCGTATGAAAGGAAGAAGAAGACCGAGGACAGCTGAAGCGCAGCTCAAAGCCCACCCAACAACAATGAAGGCGCTGCTTCTCGCCTCCTCTGTGCTCCGCATGATCATATACGGACGGTGCCCCCTCGCCCTTATTAATAATGAGCGAGACTCGCCTTGCGCTCCTGTCTACTCCCAAAGATGCTGCGTTCCCGTCACTCGCGGTGGGCTACGTCAGCGACTCTTCCTCTGGAAGCCAACTCGCTCGTAGTTGGTGGAAGGCGTTAAAAGATGAATGCTTTTGATGCTATAAATAAAGAGAGGAGGATTCGCTCACGACGCTTTTCCGAACGAGTGGCAGCAGTGGTGGGGATTAGAATAAGCAAAAGGCCAAAAGGGGGTTCGACGCGGCAAGCATCGTTAGGCGGTAAGAAGACCGCGGTTGCTCGGAAGCTCAAACCCGGTTTAATTTATGGAAAAAAAAAAGACTTGTAGGCCGGGTTTATTTATCGATCGATGGAATTGGACCGGCGCACGGAACGCGGGCGGGGGGCAATTCCGTCATCGTGTGGTCTAAAATGCATGGATCGATCCATGCATGCATGGCGATGCGGATGTCGATGTCGACGGGCGACGGCATCACGCAACAGGCGGGGCCCTTCGAGGCCCACCATCCCATGTGAGCGGGGCCCACATTTCGCGCGGATCCCTGTCACGACCTCTGTTACGAATCCAGCCCAAGATTTGGTAGCCACCCGGCTGCAATCAAACTGTTAATAGGATTTTACGGCAGTAATTAACGGCCAGTTAAGCTCTCATCTCCCTTCTCTTAGATCTTAAACCAATGAGTTAATGACGACCGGAAACATAATGCCGGATCCAACTAACGCAATGGACCACAGTCCACGAGCACTGCAGCTGAGACTAATACAACGCTAAGCCATTAATCATATGACCTCCCCATCAATACGTGGTTGCTTCGTCACGTCAATCTGATGCTGCTGCTGACTAACAATCTCGGTGGGAGGCCACACGGCTCATGTTCTCATCAGAACCACAGTGTCTCGGATGTGCACAGCCTGAGAAAGAACATCGATGAAGATAAGAAGTTGGAATTTTGGGGATTGGAGGCTAAGCAATTGTGATGCGGATGCAAAACGTATTGACGTGGGATGCCAGTCGACAGCTATGCCACATATGTTCTACGATAAGGATCGATTCGGCCGCTTTGGAAGGAAGGAAGGAAGGAAGGAAGGGTTCGTAAGGAAAGCATGCATGATTAGTGGAGTTTTGAGGGTGCAAGATACACATGGAGGGTGGGAGAAGCAGATGTATTGGGCGAGTCACAACGCATACATGGAGCCTACTATAACTACAAAAGCGTGTCACAGGTACCCTCCATTAAACAAAGGTTGGAAGCTTCCAAACGAGGGTGGGCATGTAGTTGTATTCCATTAATCTTTCTTCCGTGGCTTCTCCTCCTCTCGTTCCTCGGTAACGTTTACTTTCGACGGTAGGCGTAGTTTATTCTTAGCTCAGTAGTGTCGTAGACATGTTAAACGAATCCTTGATTCCATGGTCAGCTTGGTCTTACACAGAGAGAGAGAGAGAGAGAAAGGGGTATAACACAGAGAAAGTAGAGTGAAGGTTAAGGGGGGAACGAAGAGCGGAAATTACGATGGGAGGCGAATTAAAAGATGCCGCAGAAAGCGTGGAAAGTGGTGTCGGTCGTCGTCTCTCTCTCTCTCTCTCTCTCTCTCTTCACGGATGTGGGAAAGGAAAGGAGAGAGAGATGAGGAGATAAGTAAACTCGTGCAAGGGTAAGCAGTGAACACTACTATTGGGAACTTGGAAGGGAGAATGCGAGCCAATCATGTTGATGATGATGACGACGACGATGGCATGTCCATCAGTCATCACCATGTATCATGCTGTCAGCCTTTTTTTTCTTTTATATTATCCTTATATATTTCAAAAATAACATATATTATCTGTATAGATATAATATTATTAAAACATGCTATGGAGAGAGATTCCGATCCAATCGAAAAGTATGTATTTCCATGCTTCTCATAGGTTGAAATGACAAATAAACAGGATACATAACGATAAATATGTTACTGTTGGAATAGAATGAAGACAAATATAAAACCAATCAATAAGTTGACATCATGATACATGGTGGTGACCGATGGCCATGCCGTCATCGCTCCCACCATGGTCATCATCATCGTCATGGTTGGCTCCCATTCATCCTTCCGAGTCCTTTCCCACCTCTAGAGAAAGAGAGGCGATGGGCGACACCACTTTCCACGCCTTCTGCGGCTCCTTTGTCGAATCATCAACATTTTAATCACGATGAGGTTTGATTTCAGCATAAAATCTAGAAGAAAAAGGAAAGAATGAAGAAGAAGAAGAAGAACATAGTGGAGGCAGAAGAATGACAGTGTAGGCTTGTCATGGATGATGATGCGCTTAATAAAAGGATGCATGCATGTGTTTGTGCATTAGAAATGGGGTGGGATGCTCTCTTGTTTGTCTATATGGAGAACTCATCTGCAATTCCCAGTTCAAGTAGTAGTAGAAAGGCAAGGAAATATCACACAAACTTAGAGATATACATGCCAATAAAGCCTTGCATTGCATGACTTGGTTTTGAGGTGGCCTTAAGAATAGCCACCATATATATGAGCCATTTTCTCTCATCTTCCTATCTCCGACAGCTACACCAACCTAAAACATCAGCATGGAGAGCAAGCATACGTCTCTCTCTGAGGAATGGAGCCTATGGTACTCACAAAACATGATCAGGCTCAGTCAGCTCTTTGGACTGCACAAGTAAAACCATTTGATTTATTTTGCTTAAACACTTGGTTTAGATTGATGAGGAAGGGAGCCGAAGAAATAATTGCAGTCATCAAATAGATCTTAGTGTGTAATGTTGTAGGGTTGGAGTTTAAATTGAGGTTAGAGGCTTTTAATGAAGTTTTAGGAAGTTGGATTTCAATATATTTTATAGATACATAATTTATAATAAATATGATTGGTATGGATTTTGACTAATTAAAACTTGACTATAATGTTGTTGTTGTTGTTGTTGTTCACTAACAAAAAAAAATCCTAATTTCATTGTTACTAATGTCTCATTTTTTTATAATTTTTTGAAATATATAGACCTAGATTTAATATATAATGGAAAGAGTAAGGTTTTTCCATCTATTATTATGAAATATCCCAAAATAATTCGAATTTTCATTTAAATTTATTCAAAAGCTCTCTTACAAATTAATCATTAATAATAATTTGATTTTTTTTTTGTACTCAAATTTACTAAGTCAATTTGATAATCAAAAATGATTTTATAATATATATATTTATATATATTTTTATATATATATGTATATATTTCACATGCATGTGTACATGGTGCAGATACGAGTATGTGCATGTTCTCTTCGTATCATGCAGATATCTCAGGACACTTGCGTTCTTATGAGGCATCAAAGGCGCGTCAGATCATCGAAGGCCCTCCGGATGTCGTCATGGACGCTTCGATCGTTGAGCTCGAGGTAGCGGTCGAGCAGCCTCCGCATGAAATCCCAGTCGGTCTTCTCCCCCAAATTCACGCAGTTCTCCTCCATCATCTCCATCATCGACTGCCGGAAGTCGAAGTAGGGTTCCTTCGAGTACTTGACCACGGCCACGCCGCGGGACCTGAGATGGCCGGGGCTGCGGATGTCGCCTCCCGTGGGCCTGCCATCGGTACTGCCTCCGTTGCCGTCGTCGTTGCTGTTCGGATGATGATCGTGAAGGGTATCGGACCTCTCGACGACTAGATCGGCGAGGGAGACGTCGACGCCGGAGTCCGGATCGTTCCTGGAGTCGAAGGACAGGGTTTTGGGGCGCTTGCAGCTGCTGAAGAACCACTCCGCCATGATGGTCGGTGAGGGGCTTTGTCTTCCTCGGAGGAAAGCTCGGGTTATAGAGAAAAGGGAAGGGGAATTGCACCGAACGACGGAGGAAGAACGCAGTGATGAGCGTATCCAGGATGAGATGTGCTGCTGCTTCTCAGTGTCTCCATCGGTACGTGCATGGGGAGGAACGAAGGAATGTACCTTGTGGCAATCTTCTCTTGGATGCGGTGAAGTGGGTGAAGGATTTAGGATACCAAGGCAATAGATATTGGCAGAAAGGATCGAGTGCATCGATCTTTGTTGTGTGTACGAGATCTGCAAGGAAGAGCGGTAGATCTTCGTACATAGGAATCGCACTGCAAAAGGGTTGACTCAAAAGTCAAACTGTGTTGTCATAATCAACATAGCCAATAGAAAGATCAACATCAAAAATTGAGATTTTCGAAGCTGAATTCGATAATTTAGGTTTGGGATTCAGCTTATGATTTAATCTCCATGAGACCAACAGTGAGTGCAACGACTGCTTTCACTCCTTAAACTTATTTAAGAGCCAACAACAAATAACATCCAAAATAAAAAGAATATTAATATGCATGACATAAATATTTATCCCAACAACACGTGACAAATGAGATTCACATTTGAGCCACGTGCACGTTAGTCCAAAATAAAAATATTTCACTCATATTATAAAATATTTTTTGATTAAATTCACTGTGATTTTTCATTTCAATGCTAACTAAAACATCGATTGGATAATATCGAGAAACTCATCCGACCTTATTCTTTATTTAGGTCAATTATGGAATAAGTATTTAAGTATTTTTTTGACTACATCAAACTTTTTATATACATGTGCTTAGATTAAGTCAGACTAATTTAACTATCATTTACATTCATCATATTATTTTAACGTTAAAAAGACTATACTAGCACTGATAAATATATTTAATTTTCTTTGTATCTTATTAGTCTCATGGTCATATTTTATTTACAGAGACACCTTTTAGGCTCCTTGAAAGGGTAAAATCATATCAGCTTATTTAAATCGGATAACTTCAAGTGAGAGCTTGTACTTACGCTAATGACGAGAAATAGTGATTCATTAAATATTATTAATCTTATATTAATATGAAATAGTGGGCTTGGGAAAGTGGCAACTCAACCACTGTAAAGTGCAGTCAACTTTCAAAGTAAGGCATTGGAAAAAAGCTCATAGTAATAGAAAGGTGGCAAATGCTTTCCTTGGATCACAAGAAATGTATAAGACTTGGTGGACTATTTTATGCTTCCACCTACTCATTGATTTTGTTTATTTCATGTGTGTTTGATGAAGATTTCGAATTGGGTGAATCCTAAAAGCTGAGATCGATAGGAAATGATTTGATATATATTAAACTCTTGACATATTCGCATGTAAGATTTGTATTGAAATATATTATATAGATATTGATTAAACACTGAATAAAATAGAGATGGCTAAGACAAAAAATAAATATCTTGATTGATTTACCAAAAATCTCATAAGCTTAATATGGTACATAAAGAAATCTTTATTAAGAATATAAATCAGATTACATTATTTGTGGGCTTAAGCTTGTAGGTGAGATGAACAAAAAGGTCTTGTGTTTTCAATATTATTATTCTACAGATGACATTAATGCAAATATATTCATAAATTTGTCTTCTCCGTCACATAATATTGTCTTTATATAAATATTTATGATAGAATATTATAGCCAGAAAAAAAATCAGATTAGAATCATAAATTTTTTTTATATTTAATTAAAAAATTTAAAAGGTATAAAAATAATAACTAATTTATTTTCTAAAAAATTAAAATTGATGTAAACCTATAATAAACAAAGTTGATGTAAAAAAAAATAAATTTTTAATCAAACTAAATACCTTTTTTGAAAGAAAAAATAGAATTAAAAAATTTGTAGTCAAACTAAATTTCTATATGACATCCCAGATTAAAAAAAAACTACAGAAGATTATTTTCTTTAAATTCAATTCCTTATCTTTATAATACTAAATATTTTTAACTTAAAAGATAATCATATCTTCTTAATAGGTTCACAAAAAAATATTTTCCACACAAAAAAAAACCATACATCTATTATTATAAAACAGTGAACCACTTTTAATTTTAAGTTCTGTACACATCATAGATTAGGTGGATTATCAAATTGGAGTTAGAATTGGATCAGTTTTATTATATTATAAATAAATTTTGGATCTAAAAGCCCTCCTATTATATTATTTATATTATTAATTATTTACATAATTGCAATAGTTTTACCGATCCTTTTTTTTACGAGGAAATATTTCGCAAATGTATATTATTTGGATGTGATCACTCACCTGGATCGTTGGGGGTTCATCTAGACCGTCCGATGCTCCATCGACGGACGTGATGGATCGTCCAAAGCTAGGCGGCCCAGGAAGCAGGCTTGTAAATGGGTCGGATATCTAATCGTAACAGGTTTGATCCGTTTTCGAGTTGAATCGGGTTTGCGTTAGATCCTGAAACCGTATATAAAGCCGAATGCTGTCGACCAAAACCTAAAGCGCCCATCAGAACCAACTCATTTTGCTTCTGGGAATCCCCCGAGCTCATCGGGGCCGCCGTCTTCGTCTCTCGAGTGTAATCTCTTCCTCTCTATCTCTCGATCGCCCATGGCGGACGGAATCGAAGAGGCGGCGAACAGCGTCTCCAATCTCTCCGTTACTGATACTCCCGCCGCGGAAGCCCCGAGCAAGAAGTAGTCCCTTCGGTTACTCGGTCTCTTTCCATCTGTTGTGCTCTACTGATTGGTCATTATTCTCTGTTCTTTTATCTTTTTCAGTGCTCTGAAGAAGGAACTGAAGAAAAAGAAGAAGGAAGAGGAGAACCGCCTGAAAGAGGAAGAGAAGAAGAAGAAGGTTCTTGTTTTGTGCCTGCCGATTTCTTTTCTTTGAATCCTTTTTTTGTTTACTTCTTTGCTTTGGTTGATGTTCTAAAAAGACCTAATTTTGCTGCTGATTGAGATAAACCTTACTCGGGATTCAATATGCCGAAAGCTGGTTAAGAAAAGTTGGCATTTGGAATCTAAATGTATTCTAAGTTCTCACTTTTTATCGCTTAATTTTCAGGTTGCTGCAATGCCACAGTCGCAGAAGCCGTCGTCAGCGGACGATGAGGATATGGACCCAACGGTTCGTTTGGCCTCCCTTTCTTTAGCAGAAAAATAGGAGATTTTAAACATCTTTGGTTTGAATGTCTCAATTTTGGTGCATACTCTTTGTCACAGCAATATTATGAAAATAGGTTGAAAGTCCTTGCATCAGTGAAAGTGGCCGGCGGCAATCCTTATCCTCACAAGTTTCAAGTATCCATGACTATTACAGAATACATCGAGAAATATAGAGTTTTGAATGAGGGAGACCACCTTAAGGATGTTGAAGTCAACATTGCAGGTAGTGTTGCTGTCTGGTATGATTACTGTACAAGTATTTGATTTACATGCTTCTTCTGGTAGCTATTGTTGATTGTTCACTGGATTTGTTGCTTATTTTAAGGGAGGATTATGAACAAGCGAACATCTTCATCAAAGCTTTTCTTCTATGACTTGTATGGAGGTGGTCTAAAAGTGCAAGTGATGGCTGATGCTAGGTATCACTTGCTGAGATCAATTTCTAGTTTTGGCCCATTTCTTCTTCTTCTTCTTCTTACCATATTTGTTTCTTCAGCTAAATTTAGCCATTGATGCATATTGGGATGGAGCTTTACTATTAGGGTTGAACTTGGACTGGAACTTAACAGTCAAGTATTCGGCTCATATCTTTCTCTATCTTATAGTTGGCACTAAGGGCTTGTATTACCTTTATTTGGCTAGTATTAAGTACGAACACATGCTATGCGTAAATCATCACTTTTTTTAACTACATGCTGTGGAAATACACTGTTCTGCATTTTTTCATTATAAAGCAAGCCTTGTGTATAAGAATATCTTATAATATTTGTACTTATTGCATATTATCCATTACACATAGAATGGACTTTCATCATTAGCTAAAAAGAGTGATATGCAACATCCTGATTGGTCTGAAGCGGGCATGATTAAGATTGGCTTTTAAGGATCTGATGAGTATCATAATATCAATTTTAGTTTAAACATTTTGACCAGTGATTTGGGCCAAGCGAAGTTGATAGGTCAATTAACCCATTAGGTTCAGGTCGTGACATTTGATATCAGAGCCGATCTAGTATTGAGTATGGTGAGGCGGCTTGAGTAGGAAAGAATTACTTGTGGATGGAGTCAGAGGACTCGTCATGGTGTGGAGTCACCATTGGGCTACGCCTTACATGCACCATACTAGGATTTGATATGAGCTATGCACCATGCCAGTGATTTGGGCCAAGCGAAGTTGATAGGTCAATTAGCCCATTAGGTCCAGATCGTGACATTTGATATCAGAGCCGATCTAATATTTAGTAGAGTGAGGGGGCTCGAGTAGGAAAGGATTACCCGTGGATGGAGTCAGAGGATTTGTCACGGTGTGGAGTCACCATTGGGCTACGCCTCATATGCACCATGCTAGGATTTGATTTGGGCTATGCAGGGTCTTGACGAAGTCGTCAAGCCCTTGAGTGGGGAAAATTATAATACCCCGATTAGTCGCATATCGGAAGTGGACAAGATTAAGATTGACTTATAAGGGTTTGATGAGTGTACTACTATCTACTTCAGCGTAAGCATATTGGCCAGTGGTTTGGACTAAACGAAGTTGATAGACCAGTTAGCCCATCAGGCTCGGGTCGTGACATGATACTTATGCTATGTAGAAGTGGTTTTTCAAAAGATTCACATAGCAAATCTAAAGCATTGTATCTATTCCAGACACGATACGGAGAAAGAATACCATGATTGCCATTATCTTATACCTTCGTGCTTTGTCGTTACCATATCTTTGAGAAAGGAACTGAAGGCAACTTTTGTTGATTAAATGGAGACTCAAGATTGATTATTGATTTTACTTTTCATGGAATCCAATGATATAATTTTGATGCAACTAGGCTTATCACATACATCAATTTCATGTATGCATCTTAACTATATTGTTTAAGCGGTGACTTGACGTCAATCTTGCATCATGCAGTCAAAGTCTAGTTTGCATCTCTCTTTTCTGTCATGAATAAAATAATATGTTATGCTAAAATATTTGCTTTTACTTCACCAAAGACTGTTCAACATCTTGATTTTACTGTTAAATAGGGAGTCAGATATGGATGAAATTGAATTTGCAAAATACCATTCTGGTGTGAAGCGCGGTGACATTGTCGGGATATGTGGTTATCCAGGTTGGTAGCATTTTATTTAGGTACTAAAATAGTCTTACAATAATTAGAGGACTCTTTCCGGTATCATTTTTATTTTTATTGATCTTCCTGTTAAAATCAGGGATATAAATCTCAGTCCAATATCACAGATTGGTAGTGCTAATATATCGGGTGATATATATGTGCATGTCATCTGTTAACATTGAATAAATCAATAAAAAGTATTTTAGCAGTATCAAGATATAACTTTGATACCATAACTTGGTTGGGTGGATAGATACCTATCCATAGATATAATTGAGTTTTGAAACCTTGGTTATGGCTATATCCTTTAAGAGGTTTTGTATGTAGATAGTTATTCATAGATCTGTAAAAGCATTTGTAATAGGTGGAATGAAGTAATGGCATCAGTTTATTTGGTTAGACTAATTTCTGGCACTAATGATCATTTCTGAACTAAAAAAAATGTAAAATGAATGAAATTCAATTACAATCGTAGATATGGCAACACTAGTTGTGTTCTGCAATACAATTTTGAACTAATTCAAAATTTATTGGTATTAAAATTCACCTTTCATGAAGCAAGAAAACTCAGTGTAACTTAATATTCATTTTCTAGCAAGGTTTGATGAACCATGTTTATTATGCGGAACTTTATCTTTTAACATGTCTTGATTGAAGATGCCCTCTCTCTACAAAAGCTCTGCATAGAATCAAAAGTTTTGCAGGTTGATTGTTGTCACGATTGGCCTTAATCAATAATCTAGACTTTTAAAGGAAAACACAACACTAAAATTGAAATCAAATTAGAGAATACTGCTTTTTGAAAAGTGGCGATTACAACAAGACATTATGGATCCTGAAGTTTTCTTTTTGTATTTTTTGGTTCAAAGTTGCAACATTAGCCTGGAAAAAGGAACATGTACTCTCCTTACTTTCTTCATATGCAGGTAAGAGCAAAAGAGGAGAGCTTAGTATTTTCCCAAAAAGATTTACTGTTCTGTCCCCATGCCTTCATATGATGCCAAGGCAGAAAGCTGGTCCTGGCATTGAGAATGCTTCTGTTAAGGTATAAGCACATATAATAACTCTTTGATGCAAGTATAATACTATAAGCTTTAGTTCATATGATCTCATATAATTTGTCTGTTCACTCACTAAAAATGGTTATGATCACTTCACAGAAGAATGAAGGGAAAGTGGCATCAGATGTTTGGGTTCCTGGAATGACAAGGAACCCTGAAACATATATTCTGAAAGATCAGGTATCTAAAATTTTTTTGGTTTGCTTGAACGTTTTTTTCCTTAAATATGCCAACAGCATGTATGATACTATGATTTGTGCTTTCCTAACATACAATTTGACTAACTGGTGCTATGTTCATGCATATTTTGGTACTGAGGGGGAATTGTTTGTCTACCATTACATGTGTCAGATCAGAGGATCTCTTGATGCTGACATAATATTACTCTGATTTCTGCAATGTCACCCTTTCTTAGTATATTTGTGCTTTCTTACATGCAGTTGACCATTACTTATGTATTATTCCAAAAGAGCTATGTGGTCAACATTATTGCTTTTAAAAGTCATATAATGATTGCTTTGATCAGATCATGGCCTATTTTCCATGAAGATCCTTGCAAAATTCAACTGTTTTTTTTAATGAAATCATTCTCAAATTTTTGTGTACCAAACGAGGTCAAAACTGCATTTATCTGCTTTGTTGAGTTTTCTTGTACATAATTAGATTGGATATAATTTGATAGAATTTTATTTCCAAATTCAATCAAGAGGTATATGGGAGAGCCTGGTGTCACACACTTTATATTCTAGTTGACTGGGATTCAAGTCACAGAAACAACTTCTCTACTAGGAGGGATATTGCTCATTATGTTGACTTTCCCAAGATCTTGCATTGACAGGATCCTTGTGCATGGGACTGCCGCTTAAATGAAATTGATTGACCAAATCAAATTCTTATGCTATTTAGTCTTATGTCTTTAATGCTTGTTTTCAGATACCTTGTGTCTTCTGGGTTGTCTTCTCCCTCAATTGGCACTTGAAATATTTTCATTTTTTCAATGTGTTGCATGACATTTTCTGTATGTTTAGATGAAGATCCTTTTCTGAACTATCAGTGTGTAATATATATTTGGTTTGTACTTTCCTTTCAGATTTTACTATCATTTTGGTAGCTGAACATTGGCTTTATGTTTGTGGTCTGAACTTTCATTTAACTAGTATCTGTTTGGTGCAATTTAATTTAACTGAGCAAGGAGGAATGCTGAACTTTTAAATTTTTGGTGCTAGGAAACACGTTATCGTCAACGTTATCTGGATCTGATGTTAAACCATGAGGTTAGACAAATATTTAAGACTCGTGCGAAAATTATCAATTATATCCGGGATTTCCTCAACAAACTTGATTTCTTGGAGGTTGGCTCTAATCCCCCAATATTTTTTATTTTATGGTAACTTCGATGCAATTTTTGGCTATAAACTTTTGCTTTTCCAGGTGGAAACACCTATGATGAACATGATTGCTGGAGGAGCAGCTGCCAAGCCCTTTGTCACTCACCACAATGAATTGAACATGAAGTTGTTCATGCGCATTGCCCCTGAACTTTACTTGAAGGAGTTGGTTGTTGGTGGGTTGGACCGTGTTTATGAAATTGGAAAGCAGTTTAGGAATGAGGGTATTGATTTGACTCATAATCCTGAATTTACTACGTGCGAGTTTTATATGGCTTTTGCGGATTACAATGATTTAATGGCTCTCACAGAAGAAATGTTATCTGGTAAGAATTTCACCTTCATGTGATTTTTTTTTATTGGGTGTCAAAATGATTTCTAATGTTGAAATTATTAAACAGGAATGGTAAAATCTTTAACTGGTGGTTATAAGATTAAATACCATGCAAATGGAGTGGACAAGGATCCGATAGAGATTGACTTTACTCCCCCATTTAGGTGCGACTGTAAAACAGTTGTTTTGTATAATTTTTCAGAGTATCCGGATGTAAGAGAATTAAACATACTTGATTCCCTTTTTCAGACGGATTGACATGATTGAGGGATTGGAGACTATGGCTAATCTTTCTATACCAAAAGATATTTCAAGTGAAGCAGCAAACAAGTACTTGTTGGATGCTTGTGTGAAGTTTGATGTTAAATGTCCCCCTCCTCAGACAACAACAAGGTTATTGGACAAGGTTGACTCTTCATTCTGTTATCTCACAATTCTTAGCTTAGAGAAGTGACAATTGATTTCTTCTACATGATTGGAGAAGAGCTGTATGGGCGGTAGAAGCATTAGAAAGCAGCATGGGGTGGCAAATGAGATGGAAAAAAAATCTATCTTCTTTTGATGGAAGAATATAGCTATCTTAATAACAAAAAAAGATCAACCACAAGTCTTTATGTTTCATTCGTACAATTTAATCATCAGTTTTCATGGATGATTATCTGATCGAGTAGATCCTACTTTCATTCTATTAGTGCATGACTTACTAAATTATTTTATATGGACTTGTTCAATAGCTTGTTGGGCATTTCCTGGAGGAGACATGCGTCAACCCTACATTTATCATTAATCACCCTGAGATCATGAGTCCATTGGCAAAGTGGCATAGATCGAAACCAGGTCTGACTGAGCGGTTTGAATTGTTCATCAACAAACACGAGGTATGTGACTTCAATCTTATCTTTTGCTATAAACTAATACATCATTTTGATGATGTTAACATGGCATTCAGGTTTGTAATGCATACACGGAATTGAATGATCCAGTTGTACAGCGTCAACGATTTGCTGAACAACTTAAGGTACTTGTGGAAAATTACTGAATATCATAACTGGGTGTTATTGAACTTTGGCTCTTTAAATTTGTTAAACTTACCCAGATTCTAAATTAATGTCTAGTTGTAATTTGTTGGTGGTGATATCAGGACCGACAATCAGGTGATGACGAGGCAATGGCTTTAGATGAAACATTTTGTACTGCTCTTGAATATGGCTTGCCTCCAACTGGTGGATGGGGTTTGGGGGTAGATCGCCTTGCAATGTTGTTTACAGATTCTCAGAATATAAAGGTCTCATTTATATCATTGATTCACACATCCCTTTTATAGTCATGAATTTTTACCAAACTTGTGTTACATCTAGCTAAATGATTAATGAATATACTCGAATATGCGTTGCAGGAAGTTCTGCTTTTTCCTGCCATGAAGCCTCAAGATGAGCCTTTGACGAAAGGTTAACTGGTATCTCATTGCTCGACTTTGTTCTATGTTGTGAACTTTGATTTGGGTGCTTAACTTTCTAGCTGAAAGTATGGAGAACAAGAAAATTATGTCTAGTATCATCCTAGTTTCTGCTTTTTTTAGTTCTAAATAATGATCTGAGTGATGACACTTGGTGATGTCATAAAATTGATGATCCCACATCAGCTAGACGTTGGGGAGCTTAAGGGTCTCGAAGAGCTGACAACTACTCTCCAAAAGGCCGTTATAGGGCTGGACCCTAGAGGACAACACTGTGCAGGTTGTAGCCCAAAATTGGAGTACCTTTCTTTGGGATGTGCATTGAGGCTGGACCTCAAGGGACAAAACCATGCATGCAGCTATCGTTCAAAGTGGGATGGTACCTTGTGCCTTGTGGTGCCCGGGCTTCATTGGCCATAGATTTGTGCATTATCACCAATTACCGCTGATAATTTGGATGTTCTTTAGCATTTAGACCATGATGTATGTAGCAAAGTTTTGGAACTTGCATGAGTTTTAAATGAGTCAAACTAACACCACCTCAGATTTTTAATAGCCTTCAAGGTGTGGGTAAGTTGATTATGCCCTAGAGACTCATAGTTATAGTTGAATCAGTTGTTCAATCAAGTCAAGATGTTACGGTTATCAGACATTCTTTGGAATTGTGTCCAAGTCAACAACTAGCTAAGATGGAGCTTGGTCATACTTACTAATATTGTGTATAACGATAGTGATCCACTATTATTGCAAGCAAACATGGAAAATTATTTCCTTTGCTTAAATGCCAATAATGATTTTTACACTAAATCATTTTTGCTTTTGCAGGTTAGTCTGCTGAAGGATTGCCCATGTATTTATTTTGGAGAGGCCAGCAAGGATCGAGAAAATACACTTCTTATCTGAGATTTGGATACTCGAGACTTGTTATCTGAGATTTGGAGACTGGAGAAAACACGTTTGGCATTTGCACAAATATTTTGTCCTCCGTCTCATTTCCTGCCGGTGGTGTTAGAAATCTGGTCTGCCAGTATTTATACTGATGTAGTTCTTACCCATCTCGATTTACAGTGACTATCCATTTCGACTACATCTTGTCAATATTATTTGGCGTTTGTTACTGAAACACATTGACAATGTTGGCTTGCTGTTTCTTTTCCTGGCTTGCTAAAGCCTTTTGTTGGATCTTGTCCATAAACATGCGTGACATCAAAAGATATTACTAGATTTATTTGCTTCAACATCTTGGACTTAAACAGGTGTTCTTATGATTCCATAAAAGAATTATTATGCAAAATGACTTCAGCAGTATGCAGCTATCACAAACGCTATATTGCTAGTTAGGTTTGTTGTATATTGCTTTAAATAAATATATTTCTCGTAATGAATTCTAAGCATATTGTATCCTCATCAATCCCAATGAGCACACGACTTATACCATTTCTTTGATCGGTTGTTGTTCATAAAATTATGTTCATGTAATTATTAGATATTTGTTTTAGCCTTTAGATGTAAAATCCGATATATCTAGAAAGTGTGAGTAAGAAAACGTATAAAATTGGAAACAAATATTTATTTCCAAATTAATCATTCGCAGTTTTCTGAAAATGAAAAGGAATTGATGCACATTCCAAGAAAAGCTTTGAAGCTTAAGCTCCGCATAAGAAGTCAACGCCGACCAAAGGTCGGCTCGGTTATGGAGGTTGTTGGTGGGAAACGCTTCGAACAATTGGACGGTGGGGCGTTGACCGCAATGCGCTTGGATGCCGCGTGTCCACCGTTGAAATGCCTACGCCGGAGCCAACGAAGGCAGGACCGCCTCCCACGGGATCCCACCGCAATAAAGAGCCTCGACTCGCGGGCCGGAACGGAGTCGTGTGCTGTCTTCGGTTAGGCTCTCGTGTCGCGTGCGTCTCCGGCGGCCGAGAGCTTCTATCCTGCTCGTCTCGGTATGCCCCGCGGCCTTCCTCTGTTCCGTTCGTCTCCCCTATCGATTCGCTTCTTCCGAGCAAAATCCATCGGTTGCATTTCTTTTCCTATAGTCTCTTCACTTTGGGATTTCGATTCGTCGTCCTTCTCGATCGGGTTTGCAAGAAGAAAAGGCGGCCTTGTTTCTGCTCTGCTATATACGTCTCTGCTCTGGAGTTCGATTCCAACGAGCATTTGGGTTCTTTCTTGCAGAGAATCGTCGGTTCATGTGGGGTTTGACCACGACGTTCTGTTGCTCGGTTGTTTCTTCGTTCTTCTCTACTTTCCTTGGGGGTTGTTCGGCAAAGATGGGACTAGCCGAGATTGCGGAGGCGATCGAGGTCGCGGAGCGGATTCCCAAGGAAGCGAAGCGGATCCTCTACGATTTGGCGTCGGCGTGGGTCGACGTCAAGGATTCCAAGGCGTTGGAGGTGGTGCAGCTCAAGGGGGCGATGACGAACGAGGTGTACCAGGTCAACTGGCCCACCCAGTCCAAGGACGGCGTCTCCCGGAAGGTGCTGGTCCGGATCTACGGCGAGGGGGTGGACGTCTTCTTCGATCGCGAGAACGAGATCCAGACGTTCGAGTGCATGTCGCAGCACGGGCAGGGGCCGCTGCTGCTCGGTCGCTTCGCCAACGGCCGCGTCGAGGAGTTCATCCATGCTCGCGTACGTTCCTCTTCCATCAAAAACTCCCCCCTTCCCCTCAAAGCTTAATAATTGCTGTTGATTGAAATATTGCATTGCTCCAATTGATGAATCCTGAAATGCTACTTTTACTGTTTGGGTAAACTAATGAAGATTAATAACTTACAAGTACAACTTTATTTATTTATTTATTGAATTTAATCAATTGATTTCTATATTATCCTTTATGTGATGTGCCTGAGATGCTGTCTGGAGAAACCTTGAAGCATCTTCTGCCTTTCTGGAATCATAGGTTGGGGGGGGGGTTCCTTTTTCTCTTGGTTTCATTTTAGATGTTTTGGACTTCATGTGCTTGTGGGGTCTGCTCAGTATATTATGGTTTATGCTGTCCCAAATGCTATGCTACAACACATAACCTCAACTTTTTAAGTTGTGGAAAAAGGTGCAATCAGGACCTTATTCCCTGCTATTGCCTGTGGATTGTTAAAATAACGCTAGATCGGAGTCCTGTTTTTGTGAGCTAATTGTCAATTAGCAGCCTGATGGCACATCGAACAATCATGTATCTTGTCGTATTCCTTATGTGTGTTCTCATAACATTTGGTTCAGTTTGCTTTTAATTTTTGTTCATCGGTAGCCGTATCTTACAGCTTATCTGATTCTTTTTCTTGTTTAGATATTCTTATAAAGGCATAAGGAAACTATTAGTAGAATACCAGAAGTTGATTCTTTAGTTTGCCACCTGGGAAGCCCACCACCTAGAATCAGTCATTTATCAATGAGCGATCACTGTTTCGGTCGTATCCAAGTTGGGGTGCATTAAAAAAATACCACCATCAGAAAAATATTTAATGTGCTACACATGACTTGATACAGCTTATCCTTATTATACTCTCTTCGGTCAGACTTTTGGCATCTAATCAGGGCAATTCTTCGTCATGGTATCACTGTGAACGTGTTTTTATAAGGAGACGCTCGTGAAAAACATGCTTTAAAAATTCTGAGAAACGCCTTTTTCAAGGGACATTTTTAAGGAGACATTCTTTGTGTTCAAATCTCATGTAAAACATGCTTCAATTTTTTGGTCACACCTTTTTAAAAATACATTGTCCTCCATAAGTTTAACTCATGTATATGGAATAGCAGAATTTAGGGCTGTGGGAAAATAATCTTTAATGATATGAAAATTTAGTTTTTCATTGCTCTCATACTATGAAGGAAGTAACTGTGGGTCCCTTTGGTATCCAGGAAACTTGCTGATTATTATAACCTTTGTAGATACCTGGTAGAGAGTGGAGTCAATCTGGGGAAGTTTTCCTCTAATGCATCTTAAAAGATTGAAGGATGGACCCAGTTATAGTACACATACCACAAGCTTTAATGCATATCAAACTCATGGCAGTCATGTTGTTGTAGTCTTGATGCAGTGGAACAATCTTGACTCTAGTAATTAAAAAAGATAAAAACAGTAGCACAACCAGTATCCTATGTTTCCTCTCACTTTTAGCCGCTCACTAGAAGTTATCCACAATAAACAGTTAGCATAGAGCAATGTCATACTCGAAATACTGTGGTGATATCCAAAACATAATCTCGGTGTGGACCCAATTATTGCATTAATATCATGTCTGAGGATATGGAATCCTTCAACATCTTTATTTTAAATGTAGATATAAGGTTAGTGTCCTTGCCATGCATGCTCTTAATAGATTGGTCACACAAGTATATATTTTCTCTGGTAATACCAAACTAATCCTGATGCTTTTGTTATTTCAGACTCTCTCTGCACCTGATCTTCGTGACCCTGAAGTATCTGCTCTCATCGCATCAAAGTTGAGGGAGTTCCATGTTCTTAACATGCCCGGTCGAAGAAAAGTTTTCTTGTGGGAAAGATTAAGGTATATCATCGTTGTTTATAGGATTTCAAACTTGAATGTGAGCACTGAAGTGGTGGCTCATGCTACCTACTCTTTTGTCAGACATTGGCACAAAGAAGCCATCAAAATGTGCTCCTCTGAGGAAATCGAAGAATTTCATTTGGATACATTTGATGATGAGATAACTACTCTGGAAAACATATTGTCCACAGAAGATCAGAGCATTGGATTTTGCCATAACGATCTTCAATATGGCAATATCATGATGGATGAGGAGTTCAGACAAGTGACTATCATTGTAAGTTTAACCTGATCTTGATTGCCTCTTGAACTCTCTGTATTTTCATGGCTAGGCTGCATCCTTTGGCATTCTGAATCATTATTTCTATAGTTTTTTCAAATCTAAAGAAGGCATTTTCTGAATTTGTGTCCAAATCATCTTTCTCACTCTTCGGTTTGTTGTAGGACTACGAGTATGCAAGTTTTAATCCTATCGCGTATGATCTCGCCAATCATTTTTGCGAGATGGCTGCAAATTATCATACAGAAACACCGCACATTTTGGATTACAATAAGTACCCAGGTTGGTGATTGTTATCATTGTGACTTTATGACTACTCTGTTATAAAAGTTTAGTATTTTGGTGATCAAATTTCGCTAAAATTGCTTATTTGGCAACAGATGTCGAGGAGCGCAAAAGATTTATTCAGATATATCTTTCTTCAGGTAATCTCTCTACAATCAAGAAAGCACAACTGTCTACTGACCTTGTGTATTGTAAAATTGTTCAATAGGCATAAACTATTCCCACTCCTGATTAATCAGACAATTTGTCTGAATGATATGGCACATTTGTTCTGATATTCAATATAAGTGAACGAGTCACCAATTCCTTGTCAATCTCATGGCAAAATACAAAGCTGCAGGACTCTTAGGCTTTTGGCAAACGTCCAGTGGTTAGTTTGGTGAAATTTTGTGTTTAATTGAGCTGGCGGCATATCGTGGTTTTTCAGCATTATATTCTGTTGCAGTAGAAACGGAGAAATCATGTAGCCAGTAGTGGTTTTTCTATGGTCGGCGGATGTGTGTCTAGTTTTACACCAATTCTGAACCTTTATATGGTTCTCATTTCTTGGAACCTTGTTTAGGCAAACTGCCATAATGCTATCAATTCTATGTAACCATTGGGCACACCGGTGATCCAATTATAGAGTGTTGATCATTTGATACAAAGGTGTATGAGGGCAAATGCAAATTTGTCGGACAATACTGTCGACATCCTTGATGATCGGAGCAGCATGTATAGAATGCCATCTTTCTAACTTTTATTATTTTTCTACTAATGATATAATTAATTACCACTATTGCAGGCAACGAAACATCAGAAGACACGGAAGTCGAGCAAATGCTGCGGCTCATCGAGAAATATGCTCTTGCCAGTCATCTTCATTGGGGTCTATGGGGAATTATATCGGTACGCTTCCATCTTCTGTTTGTTGTTCTTCTATGTCTGGTCTGGTCAAATGCTGACAATAAAATATGCTTTACCCACAGGAACATGTTAATGAGATCGACTTCGAGTACATGGAGTATGCAAGGCAGAGATTTCAGCAGTACTGGTCGATGAAGCCAGAAGTGTTGTGATTCCAGTGAATTGTATGCTTGTAGTATATCATCAAATGTGTTCATTGCTGAACCCTTTACCGGTGTGTATTCATGTAGGTTCATTACTAAGATTGTAAAATTGTCAGGGAATAATACAAATCCTTTGATGAAATTGTGTAATCCTTTCCCTCCATCTTCTCTGCTAATTTGGTTCCCCTTCATATTTCTTATTTGATCGATGTCGGAGTTAGGTGCTGATAAATATTTGTTTGTTGCATAAGCCAGTAAATCGTTAGCTTATATATATTTATACCATTCTAAACGCAATCAGTGTATGGTAAAGAATTTGTAAGATCATCGCAAGTCTTGTGATCAAAGTTCACCTTCACCTGTTACCTTTATAAACAAAAAACAAAATCAAAATATATTATCCCCACTTGACAATATTTCAAATTTGATATTAAAACTCTTCGGAAATTAGATATTTTGATGCTCAATATCTCTCTCTCTCTCTCTCTCTCTCTCTCTCTCTCTCTCTACAAAACGAAGACGCATCCTTCTTTCATAAGTCATCACGAAAAAGGTTCTTACGTTGTTGAATGCCTCACCCAATGATAGATATCTCCATCTCTATGCACTCGAGCCCGTTAGCGTCAAATGACAACACTACATCATGTTTCAATAGGAGCTAATCCAATCCGGGAAACTATTATCTTGTCCTTACCGCCACATCTCATCTTCTTCTCATCACGCTTCGTTACCGACCTCTAAACTAAATATGTGCTTGTTGATAGATATATCCCATCACCGTATTAGAAGATACATATATCTTTCCATCAACGACGACTTATGGTCAAAAGCACTTGCACAATGAATGACCTGAAGTCAAAACACCTCAAGGAAATGGTCAAACGAGGATGACATCCGATCACGATCGATTCAGCACAAAACTCATCTCAGAACACAAATAGAAAAGAGTTCCAACCATGGGAGCGAGGAAGAGCAAACACGAAGCGCAACCACTCGTCCCTGGGAAGACGCAGTCATCTCTCTCTCTCTCTCTCTCTCGTGGTTGGATGACAGCTTTTGTAGGAGAGCCTCGAGCGGCGAAGCCAAATGGCAGCCACCCTCAATTTCTCTACCATACTAACCCCACGCCCTCCTCCTCCTCCTCCTCCTCCCTCTCCCTCGAGAGAGGGCCATCTCTGAGCTGGCCTCATTTGGCTTTCATTTGAGGCCTCTCATGTGATGCCGCTCTCTCTTCGCCCTCCTATCCACTCCTCACCTCCCTCCCTCCTTCCTTCCTCCGCACCACTCTCGAACCAATCTTAATCGGATCGGCTTTACCAAGGGAGATAATGGCGCCGTCTCCGATCCTCGAGACTAGGCTCGACCTTCCTCTCTTCTGATCTCCGAGACCTGTTCGGTAGAAGCTTCGGTCGTACATTGAGGTTGGATCCTGACAAGAGACAAAATGAACGACCTACTCTCCACCACCTCCTTCAAGAAGTACACCAACCTGAAGCAGCAGGTGCAGATGGACCAGATGGAGGCGGGCATGAGCGAGATGGGCGCCGTCGCCGGCGTGAACCTCGAGCAGTTCTTCGAGGAGGTGGAGAGCGTGAAGAAGGACCTGCGGGGGCTCGAGGGCCTCTACCGCCGGCTGCAGGACGCGAACGAGGAGAGCAAGACGGTCCACAACGCGAAGGCGATGAAGGAGGTGCGCGGCCGCATGGACTCCGACATCGGGCTGGTGCTGCGGAGCGCGAAAGCGGTGAAGGCCAAGCTGGAGGCACTGGACCGGTCGAACGCCCAGCACCGGAACGTGCCGGGCTGCGGGCCGGGGTCGTCGGCCGACCGGACCCGGACGTCGGTGGTGAGCGGGCTGGGCAACAAGCTGAAGGACCTGATGGACAGCTTCCAGGGGCTGAGAACGAGGATCGCGGAGGAGTACAAGGAGACGGTGGGGCGGCGGTACTACACCGTGACGGGGACGCACGCGGACGAGGAGACGATCGAGACGCTCATCTCGTCGGGGGCTAGCGAGACGTTCGTGCAAAAGGCGATACAGGAACAGGGACGGGGCGATGTGATGGACACGATATCGGAGATACAGGAGCGACACGACGCGGTGAAAGAGATCGAGAAGAGTTTGCTGGACCTGCACCAGGTGTTCCTGGACATGGCGGCGCTGGTGGAGGCGCAGGGCCACCAGCTCAACGACATCGAGAGCCACGTCGCGCACGCCAGCTCCTTCGTGCGGCGGGGCACCGTGGAGCTGGAGACGGCACGGGAGTACCAGAAGAGCTCCCGGAAGTGGGTCTGCATCGGCATAGTCGCCGCCGCTCTGCTCATATTCATCCTGTTGCTCCCTCTTCTACCAACCTTGATTACCTTGCTTAGATAGAGAGAGAGAGAGTGTGTGTGTGTGCCGTGCATAGAGAGCAAGAGGCAAGAGGGAGGAGCAGCACAATTGCCCTTTTTCTCTAACAAGTCATCCCCAGGATATTATTCCATTTGTCTTTCTTTCTTGGATGCTGCTAGATTCTTTGGTGAATCTTGATATCCTTGTAATGGTCTCTCTTGATACCGAATCTTTACTCTCTAAATTTTCTTCAAATGGTAAAAGCGACGAAGGTCAACATGCTTGCGGCTAACTTGCCATGTTGTTTAGCAGTCGACATGTTAATGCACCTCAAGTTATTATGATGTCCGGATTTTGCAGACGGACTTTCTTGCTTTTCTGTTGATGATCGCACCATTGATATGATGAGTGTCTGACTTCTTTGCCATATTCTTCGAGCAACTCTCATGCGATGAGCAAATCGGCAAAGCGCTCGATGATGATGATCATCAACTGAAACAAGAAACAATGTGAAGGTTTGAGATGTGAATCGAACCAGCACGTTGTCGATGAGCATTCATTAACCCTTTTCCATCTCTCTCTTTTGCCTTCAACCTCTGTTGGGGCCATTATTAACACCAATGTAGCATACCCACATTCCCTACATGAACGCGAGCGGTTGAGTTTACAGCCATAGTACATAATTCAAATAAAAAATGTGCAGGAGTTACTCCACAAATCATTTTTGGCTATCTGTACAATTTAAGGTAAACTGACTTATATATAAAGAACACGCCAAGTAACAAATACACGGCGACAAGAGCCACCGACAGACAGACAGACAGACAGACGATATATGATTCTTTTTTCTTATGAATAAACAAATAGTTAGCAAAAGATGGGTAGTGAAAATAGTCGATTACGGAGTACAAACAATTTATGGTCTCACCTGAGTAAAATGGTGAGAGAACTTTACAAAATGAATTAATCACACTTGTACAATTACAAACAACATCAAGAGACGCGCACCTTCTTTTCCTGTAGAGGATGAAGAGCAAACTTTAAGTTGGAATCAGACGTTGATATCAGCTCTATTTGGTTTTGTGCTGCCAATTTCAGGCGACCCAGATGGTGAGAATCTGTGGAAGCTGTAGTTCTCAGAAGCCGACATGGGCAGCTGGGGGTACAACGTAGGAGGTGGTGTCAGGTTCAGCTGAGCGGGAAGTGGTGGAACCACATTATACTTGTAACCTTCACCGCTTAAACTGCAAGAAAACGGTTGACATAAGTACCATAATCAATCAAACAGACGACATTCCACTGTGTTGATCACCAAGACCAATCCACAGAACAGAAAATAAATTATAAAAAATGATTTAAAAAATCAGAGATAATATAATCAAGACAGTTTGGGTTCTCATCCATAGACTGAGATACAGACAGTGGGTGTGTACTATTACAACAGGAATGTTGGAGATACAAGCATCATCCTGTAACATATTGGGCATTGGGTAAATGAACGTTAAGTTCTGGTCCGATCACATACAACTTGCGGAAATGCACAGATCAGACCTAACAATTAGTATCACCAAAAAAAAAGGTATCTGTATCTTATAGCTTCAGATAGCAATATTTTAACTTTCAAAATGGTAGTAAGAACAGAGTTAGAAAGTCTTTTGACACTAAATTTATAGAGGAGATGCGGAAAGATAGAATTTCCAATTAACCCAAAAGTATTGGTCAAGGAAGAAGTGAATCGAAACTACTAGTTTTTGCATATGAAGCACTAGACGAAAAATTTCAACAGTCCTACATTTTGATAGTTGAAAAACAATATACCTCACTCTTCTGTGAAATTGATCTTCATCACTTGAACTCTCGCCTGTACGATGAGTGGAATTTGGCAACGGGCTCATGGACCATGGACTAGAACTTGGTAGTTCATCAGAGAAATATCTTCTCCTGATCAACTGAGAAAACAGATAAAGGGACATAAGAAAGAATAGAATTATCCAAACATAGTCTAAGGAGCAAAATTTGTAGAGTGATACATACCACTCGAAAAAACTTAATCACAGATTCCTTATCATATCTGGCTTCTTTGGCAGCCTGGAGATGATGAATAGAGTTAGAAATAGTCATGCATTCCAGAATAATCTTGAACCTTAAGTCAGTATGCAAATTGCAAAGTATCTCAGAAACCTTGGCACAGAGAAGTAACTTCGATACATTTCCAGTTTAGCCAACAATGATAGATGCACACCGTTGTCCCAGATGGGGGCAGGAGGAGGAGGAAGATAAGGCAAAGGAAGAAGGGGAGGAGTACTCAATGGGCCAATGACTGCTAATGGACTGGTGGGGTGCAAGGTAGGAAAGTGCGTGGAGAGGAATAACTAAAAGCATCATCATATACTTTTGTTCACTGAAGATCTAGATGGTACATATCAGATACCAATTAACTACTACAGGTGACATATTCAGAGTTGATATTCAACTTTTTAATTGAAATGAAAAGCAAATGAATCAATTAAAATTTCAATGTCTAGTGTTATATGGATAAAGAATAATTGCAACTGAGGATAAAGGTAAATCTTCACCATAATAGAAACCTAAAGTGCTGATAGAAGTATTCAATTAATTCAAGCTTCAAAGATGCAGTTCTGAGTTCTTACTGCCAAGAGGCCTGAACTTCTAGGAAAGCTATCTGTCGACGGAAGTTCTTCACTAGAAGGAAGAAGACCTTGCTTCTCAACCCATTGACGAGCAACATCAACTAGATTTCCACTGCTTACCCTCGTGCCCTCTTTGGCAGCAATATCAGTTTTGTTTCCGATAACAAGATAAGGCACAGGAAGACCTCCCGGACCACCAGATCCCAGAGGAGTTGAGAATGTACCAGTTGTTGCAATCTCAGAAGCCCACCTCTGCAAGTTGGACTTGGTCCTCCTTTGTGTGAGATCATGAACAAATATAACACCTATATAAGGGTTTCAATTAAAAAGGGAGTGAATGTATTCACAGTAGATAGAGTATGTAGTAACAACTCAATTAAGAAAAAAAAAGATATGCCCTGAATTGATCAGTTATCCTTGTAATTGTTATATATCATATAGGAGAATTGTGACAAATTCTATTATGTTGGATAGTCCATCATGATCAGATCAGAACCAGTGACGGTGACAGATTCAAAACCCCCTTTCAATTTCAAGAATCATGTTCTCCTGAATAAAGAATTGTCATTTGAAGCTAAAGAAAATGTACAGTATGCTATTAGTTCCAATTCTATGGCACCAAAGATGAAAGTATCTTTTTATATGGAAGTCGCACAGGACCTTAGTGGAATTTAAAGACCAATAACTTAAGAATTCCAGGAACTAGAAGACATCATGACAATGAATTGTTTTCAGATGATGAAGCTTCCAGCTGAATAGCTTGTATAGTTTAATACATAGCATGGATGAAAGGATTTCTGATTTCCCTATTCTGCATATTTTACAAAGCAGCCTTCGATCAAATTATATACTTGAATTCCCAAAGAACATAACATCATCAAGCTTGCCAATCCATCTGTGCCTACCAAAACTCAGAGTGCCTTTCTGAAACATTCTAGCCCTTCAACTCAAAGATTAACGAACATGATCAAGCAGAAATTTTGTACACTTTAATAACTAAACCTGACTTAGTTTTCATTCAGTTACTTAGACCACATCCATGTCAAACAACTTTAGCAATGTAGTCAATTAAACTAATCTCAACATTGAACAAATCATTACTGATAGATTTCCAGTTCAGTTATGTGGACAGATAGTAACCAACTGCATACTAAGAAATTTTGCAGTTTATATGACATACAATATTAAGATACTCAACTACAACCTGAAAAATCAAATAACAACACGGGCAATACCCTTATTTTTTTCATGCTTAGCCTTTGGGGCATAATCCATAGCATAGACTGCAAAAGTCCACCATTTACTCAAAGGAAGTACCGATTTTCATTAGCAATTTGAACTTTAGGCATCCTGTTTCTGAGTTCTCCATCTTTCTCCCCATGATATAATGAAAGTAAAAGTTTTTAAAGTTCTTAAGAGATTTCAGATTATCATAAAAATGCAATTAAAACATAAAAGGCAGAACCAGCAAAATATTATATAGCAACCAATGAAAATAGATCACTAGCAGTACATTTTTCACCACTCTTGCTTTTGAAGATGCAAATAATGATTAAAATACAAAGCAATCATGACATATGTAAACCAAGATTAGTACTCTTAAACAAGGCCATGGCAGATCTAACACTAGAAAAGTGGCGAAGACAGAATATCGTCACAATACGGAAGCAAATATTTACCATTAATTTGTGTATAAAAAAGTGATCGACAATCCTTGTAACGTTCATGCCCCGAGACATCCCAAAGCTCAACAAAGAAGTCTCTTTGTGCATCACCTTTTATGCTATTAGAAGAACTGCTAGCACTTCCATAAGAAATATGCTGGGTAAGATAAAATTAATTGACTTGTGAGGCTAAAATCAAAAGACTTCCCAGAAAAAAAATGACAAAGATACATACAAAAATTACAAAAGAAAAAAGAGAATACTTTTACCTTCACACCCACTGTACAGCCAACTGTTTGCGAAGGTCGAGCAATAGAAGAACCCTTCAAGATTAGGTGTACTAGGGATGTCTTTCCAACACCTGGAACATGCTCAGAGATCAAGATATAGTGGATAAACTACCAACTAATATCTGTATATAAAAATGCACATTCAGATATGTGCATTTGTCCACAAACAATGTGCCAGCACATTTAGAAGGAGTAACGGTCATGGAAATCAAAATTTCATAAATGGAAACACACAAAAAGATCAACTCAAAAATCACAAATAGATAAATTATTACAAACTAAGAAAATCTTGGGCAACAAAAGAGAAAAGCCAATGACCAGATAGCAAATATGAAACAATAGGCTTTTGCAAAATCATTGAGTGTATGAAATAATGCCTAAAAGAGCACTTCAATTTACTAAATCCTACATATTCACCATATTCTATCAAAAGTATTCATTAATAAGAAATTTGAATGTTTATCAAGGATTTGGAAGTATATTGCGATCTAAAAGTGTAGTCACATAACAGTTCCCATAGATCCCTCTTAGCAAGAGAAGGTCCTCATCGACTAAGCTTGATGAAGCAAGAACAACATAGTTAACAATTAATATCTAGGCGTCAACTTTGAATAATCAATGTTGCAAATACCAGCCTACAGTACTAGGTCCAGAATACTTTTCATAGATCACAAGTTCTAAAAACAAAATTTTGCTGCAGACAAATAAGGCAACATGAGCTACAATATCCATTCGCAAAAGGGAGGGTAGTCCTCCCATCTTGAAACCATACATTCAAGAACGAGTTGAACACTAATGCTCAAAGATACCTGTATAATCGTGCATTTCCAGATGGGAATTGAAGAAAATTTGCAATAACAGTTAGTGCCTTCCCAAACAATTTGCAAAAAAGACATTCACGAAGCAACAAGAAAAGCAACTAACGATGCGATGATCAGTAACTATATAGGACGAGCAGCAATCAGATACCTGCGTCGCCGACAACGAGAACGCGGACCTGGCCACAAGGAGGACCGCCGTTCTGATCACCGTCCCGCTCCCTTTCCCTCCAAAACATGGTGGTCTTCCCAGACCCTTCGCTCAGAAGAGAATCCTCCTCCTCGGCCCAAGAAATCCAGAATCAAAATCGACCTCCCTCAGATCCGAGACGGAGACGACCGGCCGCGATCGCATGTCATCAAATACCGACAAACGACCCATCCAAAACGAACACCACCATCCCAAGATCCAGGGAAAGAACCAACGAGAAGCCCCGATCTCCACGGCAAAACCCTCACGATCGATCGAGCAAGTAACGGCGCGCCCAGATCGAGTGAAGTTTGCGATCAGAGATCCAAATGGCACGACGAGATGCGACTCACGAAGCTCAAAGAAATCAGGAATTATAACGATAAAAACATACACGAATGATGGGTCATTTATATTAATTATATCCCTCTCTTTGATTTAATGTTTCAGAATAAAAATATATGGCTAAACATTATATATTTATTATACGACTAAACATACTCTTTCATATATATAATATATAATTAACTATCTTAGCATTTTAATTTTTAGACTCTTAAAAATTACAGGAAAGTGAAATATTTAATCGTTAAGGAATATTTAATCTCGATATAAATTTTAAAAATATAAGGATTGAAATACATATATAAGTAAAAATTAAATAAATATATATATATTATTTAGTTGGATTGAATGACTAATAGAAAAGAAATATATTTCATAAAGTATATTAAAGTGATAATTTTTGATATTTATGAAGTACTTAAAATATTTAAGCTTTTTATGATCCCAATATTCCCCACTATAATCGATGTTTTCGAGTTTATATCATATAATGTTTCGTTACTACTACATGAATTGTTATTATTGCATCGAAAACAAGCAAGTCAGTATGGGATTCGAAAACTCCGATCCCATTCCGTACATTAAGGAAGCATCGATCATTTAACCTCTCTCTCTCTCCTCCTCCTCATCTCCCACGAAACTGACCCAAACAAGTCCATGCTCCTCCTCCTCTCTCGGGAGATGACATCCACGTTAAGGCTGTGGCTCCCCTTCATTCTCTCCTCTCTCCTCTCTCCTCCGCCGTATATAACCATCCCATTCAACTCCTGAAACCCTCATCACCACAGGCCGAGAGGACGATGGCCGTGGCTTTCTGATCACCGTCACTCCGTTCCCCTCCTTTGTTCTGCTACTCCACCAACTGAGAAGAATATATACAAATATATATATATTTATATTGACATATATAGATTTGTAGGATATATATTTCAAGGAGGGAAGAAGAAGAAGAGTTCACAATGGAGTCCAGCCCCAGATTCTTCTTCTTCTCCCTCCTGTTCATGGCGGCCGCTGCCTTCTGTAACGCCCACATCGCCGAATTCGACGAGTACTGGCAGAAGAAGGAGGCGATGGCTCGTGCCAACGTTCAAAATGCCTACAACCCGAATCCCGAGTCCGTCACCAAGCATTTCAACGATGCGGTGCTCAAGTGCGTCCTCCGCCGCCTCTTGGCTCTTCTTCTTCTTCTTCTTCTTCTTCTTCAAGGAGAATTTGCTGTCGTACTCCTGTACCGGATGACATGGCTGCAGGGATCTAGAGAAGAACAACACGAGGAGGGGGCTTCGCGGCAAGAGACGATACGACGGCCCGTGCATGGCGACCAACCCGATCGACCGGTGCTGGCGGTGCCAGGAGAACTGGGCTCACCACCGGAAGCGGCTGGCCACCTGCGCCAAGGGCTTCGGCCGCCATGTCACCGGGGGAAAGAACGGGGACTTCTACGTCGTCACTGACCCGTCCGACTTGGACCTCGTCAACCCCCGGAAAGGCACCCTCCGCTACGGCGTGATCCAAGACAGGCCGCTTTGGATCGTCTTCGCCCGCGACATGGTCATCCGCCTCACCGAGGAGCTCATCGTCAACAGCAACAAGACCATCGACGGCCGCGGCGTGGACGTCCAGATCATGAACGGCGCCGGCATCACCATCCAGTACGTCGACAACATCATCATCCACAACCTCCGCATCCACGACATCAAGGCCGGCAACGGCGGCATGATCAGGGACTCCGAGCACCACTACGGCCTGCGCACCCGGAGCGACGGCGACGGCATCTCCATCTTCGGCGCCAGCAACGTCTGGATCGACCACGTCTCCATGTCCAACTGCATGGACGGCCTCATCGATGCCATCCAAGGCTCCACCGCCATCACCATCTCCAACAGCCACTTCACCCAGCACAACGACGTACGTCAAATCTCACCCACCCAACACCTGCATCCTCCATTTCTCACAAAGACCGCACCGTGTTGTCCAGGTGATGCTCTTCGGTGCCAGCGACGCGTTCTCCGGAGACGCGGTGATGCAGATCACAGTCGCCTTCAACCACTTCGGGAAAGGCCTCGTCCAGAGAATGCCAAGGTTACAGATCCAGACCACACATCCGCCGCCCGCTGCTCCATCATTTCTCTCCTCCTCTGCATTCATTCACGTACCTTCTTCTCCGCAGATGCCGGTGGGGTTTCGTCCACGTCGTGAACAACGACTACACCCATTGGATGATGTACGCCATCGGCGGCAGCCAGCATCCTACCATCCTCAGCCAAGGCAACCGATTCATCGCGCCACCGACCCTGTTCGCCAAGGAGGTAAAACTAGTGACCTGCACTGGTTTCCTCGTCCACGCTCGACTGCTGAAAGATGGAACACACGATGTGAGTGTTGCAGGTGACGAAGAGGGAGTACTCACCGGAGGAAGTATGGAAGAGCTGGCAATGGAGGTCGGAGGGTGACCTGCTGAAGAATGGAGCGTTCTTCGTGCCGTCAGGAGCTGGGAAACTTGGGAATGTATCCTACAAGGATCTCATCAAGGCCAAGCCGGGGACGTTCGTGACACGACTCACACGCTTCTCCGGTGCTCTCAAATGTGTTCCCAACCGGCCATGCTGAGGAGGACGAGGTGAGGGAAGGACGACTGGAAGAATACAAATCTATGGATGTGCACAAGGGAGAGTCGAGAGGAGACGAACACGAGAAGAGAGGCACCTGCAAGGAGTGGAGTTGAGAGATTCATAACTATCATATATGTATTTGATTGCATGAAATATATAAAGGCCAGTAGTCATCGGTCAGTGATTATTATTATTATGGAATTCTCAGAACACACGTTGTGAATTGCACGCTGCAGAATATATTACACAAGAAGTAATATTCTCGCAAAATATATTCACAATACTATTCGGGTAATGCTTTCTATCATTATATGCAAATAACAAGCAAAGAACACACACATTGTGAATTGCACTCCGCAGAAAGTACATAACAAGTAATACTCTCGCAAAATATATTCACAATACTATTCCGACAATGCTTTCTATTATTGTATGCAAATTACGAGCAAATCTCATACATAGAGATAATTAGTAAAAAAAAAAAAATCGGATGATGATTTCTACATTTATTTGATCAAACACATCAATTCGATTAATAAGATGCTATTTTTTCTTCCATATGCATATAGTCTAACCCAATTCTACTCAGGTTTTCTTTTCTTTTTTTCAAGTAACAAGTAATGAGTTCCAACATAATAGCAGGAGATGTGGTGCCAAAAGAAATTTTCAAAAAAAGAACATATCGACTATCTTAAAGTTGACCAATACAAATTTTCCTTCTTCTAAGTGACAAGTAACGAGTTCCGACATAATAGCAGAAGATGTGATGCCAGAGGAAATCTCCAAAAAAATATATCGACAATCTCAAAGTTGACCACTTCCCGTATCAATTTCTGCTCAGGTTTTCTTTTTTCCAAGTAACAAATAATGAGTTCTGACATAATAACAAGACATGTGATACTAGAAGAAATCTCTAAAAACACATATTAGTCATCTCAAAGTTGACCAATACCCATATCAAATTCTCCAAAATAATAATAATAATAATAATAATAATAATAATAATAATAATAATGGGTAGACATTGCAGTAGCACCGTAAAAAATCTTAAGCTTCTCCTGGAACCCCCCAAAAATTCCAGACATAATATCCAAAAGGGACTTCAAATTATTAGAATATCAAGAAAAAGAACAAGTTTTGGGTTTTTTTTTTTTGAGACAGACAAATCACAAATCTTAAAAAGCAAAGGGTAGTGATTGGATGCCGCATGAGGAAAATGTTCAATTCTAGAATCTTCAAACAAGTTAAGCCAAGTCGAATCACCAAAAGCTCTATCTAAACAAATGAGCGAATGCGAGATTACCCCTTCACAGAAACCAACAGAATCAAATGATTATGAAAATCCCAGATGAAGTTAGAGATAAAACTCATGACCAAATTATCAATCTTAATACAGGAAATATCATAGTTATGTCATTTATATATGGTCAAGGGATTACCATATCAAATCCACTAGTTCAAACAAGTGTTGGTCATAGAAAAAGATTCCTGTCCTATCAGATTTCAAATGTTCCAGCTTGAACGAGTATTGGGCAGAAAAACCAAAAAAACAAACTTATTTGGTCTGACAGCGAAGTGGACTTCCAATCTCACTACTAGTGCAATGCTTTGACAAATCGAGCAACCTATCCATTTCAGACCAACCACGTAGGCAGTCCTCAACAGGTAGCTCCGAACTTTATCGTTCCACAAATGAGAGAACATGAGAAGAAACAATGGCTATCTGATCTCAAGTCAACTTAAAGGATTATCCTAGAGTCAGGCCTTGACTTTTGAGACATGGAATCGCTTTCATGGCATTGACTACACTTAGTTTAGTGGAGATTGCTTTCCTCATGGCTTTGACTCAACTTTTTCTAAGTTCAAGGAAGGCAGACCACATGAATGTGGATCACCAAGGTTTGAAATTGGTATACCATTATCCAATGAAATAACTAAGAACCTTCTCTGAAGAGAATGATCAGAAAAGAATATTTAATATCCATGCATGTTTCATTAATATCAAGATTTAATATAGTGGAATAATGGATAGAAACAGACTATCCCAATACTATTAAGAACAATGCAAGGCGTCATCCTCACCTGGACCTAGAAGACGTTGCCACCAGCTCCAAGCCTTTTCACACCATGCAACGTATTGTGCCAGTTGCCTCCCTCCCGCTGCTGCCTATTAGTTTGGAGCTGCAGACAGAAGAAACAGCATCCCATCTTTCTCACTATGGAGATTCCAGTAGTCTTTTCTCCAAAGCTTGCGTTGTTTCTTCTCCTGCATGGTATCCTCTTCCTTCCATGCATGGGTTCATCGGCTTCCACATCGAATGAGACCGACCTCCTCGCTCTCCTCTCTTTTAAGGCTTCCATTGCCATCGACCCTTCCGGAGTCCTATCCTCGTGGAATGGCACCAGCAATTTCTGCAAGTGGCCTGGTATCTCTTGTGGTGGCCGGCTGCACCCTGACAGGGTCGCAGCACTAGATCTCGACTCTCTGAACCTGACAGGTACTATATCCCCCTCCATCACAAACCTCACCTTCCTCAGGAGGCTCCACCTTGCTTATAACAAGCTATATGGATCCCTACCACAAGATCTTGGTCGCTTATCGCGACTGCAGTTCCTCAACCTCAGCTACAATTCTCTTGAAGGTAACATCCCTGACAGCATCACCAGATGCTCTAAGCTCCGATGCATCTGCTTAGGTGCCAACCAGCTTGAAGGCCAAATTCCAGCTGGTCTTAGCAATTGCACAGAGCTACAGATAATAAGCTTGAGAGCTAATAAGTTCCACGGAACTGTTCCCATAGAACTAAGCACCCTTCCAAAGCTGGTTAGGCTGATCCTGGGCACTAACAATCTCACGGGTACCATCCCACCCTCACTGGGGAACTTAACAACTCTATCGATATTTGATCTAGCTGATAATAATCTGGAGGGCGGCATTCCTGAAACACTTGGTCGACTTATAGGGTTAGGATCCTTTCAAGTCTGTATCAATCAGCTCTCAGGTGTGATTCCTCCCTCCATCTATAATCTATCATCCATCTGGCACTTCCATGTGGCCATTAACCAGCTCTCTGGAACCCTTCCCCCAGACATTGGCCATGCTTTCCCTAAGCTCCGGTACCTTTTCATGTATGAAAACCAATTTGAAGGACCCCTACCAGTATCACTGTCCAATGCCTCTAGCTTAGTGAGAATTCAACTAGCAGGGAATAGATTCACAGGACCTGTACCTTCCAACTTGGGAGCACTACAGGACCTAGTTGAGCTACTCCTGGCTGCAAATCATGTTGAAGATGGAGAAGCTAATGGGTGGAGTTTCCTCAGATCTCTGACCAACTGCACCAAATTAGAGATATTAGACTTGTATGGGAATAGGCTCCAAGGCAGATTTCCTATCTCTGTTTCCAACCTTTCTACAACTCTCCAGAAACTCTCAATGAACAGAAATCAAATATCTGGAAACATTCCTGATGGGATTGGGAACCTTGTTGGCTTAACTTCTCTTTACTTAGAAGAGAACCAACTCACAGGCCCTATTCCAGCCATTATTGGTAAGCTTCAGAGATTGCATGTCCTGAGTCTGCATCAAAATAAGCTTTCTGGGCAAATTCCATTCTCCTTGGGCAATCTTACCCTCTTAAATAGATTAACTCTAGATGGATGTCAGCTGGACGGGACAATTCCTGAAAGCTTTGGGAACTTGAAAAATCTGGAACTATTGGATCTTTCTTTTAATAGGCTCACTGGTACCATACCCAAAGAAGTTGTCAGCCTCTCCTCCATCTCCAGATATTTTGCTGTGTCCAGCAACACCCTGTTTGGTTCCCTGCCAGCCGAAGTAGGCAGCTTCAAGAATCTTCAACTTCTTGATGTCTCTGAAAACAAATTATCTGGTAGTATTCCAAGTACTCTTGGAGAGTGTCAGCTCCTCATGTACCTATATATGGGAGGTAACGACTTTGAAGGAACTGTTCCTCCGTCTCTAAGCAGCTTAAAAGGTGTACAAGAGTTAGATTTTTCACGTAACAACTTGTCAGGGAACATTCCCAAGTTTTTGGAGACACTATCATATTTGCTGCTTCTGAATCTTTCTTTCAACAACTTTGAGGGTGAAGTACCTGCAGGAGGAATTTTCAGTAATATGACTGCTGTTTCACTTGAAGGAAACAATAAGCTTTGTGGGGGTAACCCAGGATTGCATTTGCAAGCATGCCCAATCAAGGCCCCAAGCAGGAGAAATAGAACACTACGACGTACAATTATTATCTCAGTTGCCAGCGGAACTTTATGTCTACTTGCGCTGATTTGCTTTCTTATTGCCCGCCGCTATCAACAAATATCAAGCAGAAAATCCTCATCTGATGCCTCCTTCTTAAAAAAGTATCCACAATATTCTTACTCTGAGCTGTTTAAAGCAACTGATGGGTTCTCACAAGCTAATTTAATGGGTGTTGGAAGCTTTGGTTCTGTGTATAAGGGAACTCTGGATGAAGAAGAGAAGGTTGTTGCTGTGAAGGTACTCAACCTCCAACAAAAGGGAGCTTCAAGGAGCTTCATGGCTGAATGTGAAGTCTTGAGAAACATCCGACATCGCAATCTTGTAAAGATCATAACTGCATGCTCCAGTATGGATTTCAATGGAAATGATTTCAAGGCACTAGTTTTTGAATTCATGCCCAATGGGAGTTTGGATGAGTGGTTGCACAGTGAGGGCAGAGGACGCAGAGCAGAAGGAAGCTTGAATTTTATTCAGAGGCTGAACATTTGCATCGATATTGCTTCGGCTCTAGATTATCTCCATCATGGCGGCACGAATCCAATTGTCCACTGTGATCTAAAGTCGAGCAATGTTCTTCTTGACAATGACATGTGTGCTCATGTGGGGGACTTTGGGTTATCCTGCTTTCTTTCGAGATCACAATCTGCATCATCAAGAAAGCCAAATAGCTCAAGCAGAATTATAGGGACAGTTGGGTATGTTGCTCCAGGTATGTATTCCTTTTAGTATTCATTTCCAAACTCACAAGCAAATGATTGCATTAACATGAATATAGTAACAAGATGATCCATTAGGTTGACATGGTTGTAGTTGCAATGACACTGAACTTTTTTCCCTTTTCATATTTGCAGTAGTCTAGAAGATAAAGCTGGCAGAACACTTCTGCAATGCATTTATTAACTAGATAGTTCAGTTCTCTAGCGAGTAGCCAAAATGATCGATTTAAGTTAGAAAAGATAATATAAAGCTGAATACTTTATGTTGCCATCTTAGGAATTTACATAAGAATGTCTCATCATTGTTTGGAACTAAGTTGTGCTTCTCCATGAAACCAAAAAAGTATTTACAAATGCTTTGTCAAGGCTATATGGAAAAAACTAAGGCAGGAAAGTTTACTTCATACATCCGAAAACTTATTTATGATAATTTGCTGATTTGTTGATTTAGAAAGATATTTAGTGTACTCTTATATCTGAGAGGAACTTTTGAAATTAATCACTTTTCAAAGTGAAAATTTTCTAAAATGTTCTCGACAAAGAAGACTATTTTACCACTAAAAATCTTGGTAAGATGAGTTTATGTTTGCACCTTTTGAATTGTCATTAATAATGATGAATATCAGAAGAAACCACATCTGCTAAGTTGATTTTCCTTATACCATCTTTTTATTCTTTTCTTGTGCTTAATAAATTTTCATCAGCTACATATCTAACTCTGCAGCTTTAAGCCTCATCCTGCACCAAATAGCTTCCAATTGTAAGAGCTTAATAAGATGAATCAGTAAAAGAAAGGAAAACTTAATTGAGTGTCATTTTGGTAAACCTATAATAGATGCATTTTTATTCATTGGCAAGATGGCATATTGTCTTCCATATATATCAATATGACCATGTACGACCCTAGTATTCTCTGCTCATACATGTACAGAGTATGGAATTGGTAGCCAAGTTTCCGTTGAAGGAGATATATATAGCTTTGGAATTCTTCTACTGGAGATGTTTACAGGAAGAAGACCAACTGATGAGATATTTAACGAGGGATATGGGCTTCATAAGTATGTTGAGATGGCTTTTCCTGAAGGTGTAATGGAAATCATAGACCCACATTTGCATTTCCGAAGAGAAAATGGAGAAGACACTGAGCCTTCCAATTGCTCAACCAATGCAACACAATTTCAGAAGTATCTAGTTTCCATAATTGGACTTGCGATTTCATGTTCAAGGGATCTACCAAGAGAACGGATGAAAACGAATGATGTCATCAAGCAACTGTGTGCAGTGAGGGATGAATGTATAGCAGAATATACATCTTGACTTAGTAATATGCCAAAATACATTGTGACCTCCTTGCAAAGGAGCAACCATACTCTTATACATCTGCCTTTATCCAGCAAAGTACCTGAAAATAAATTTTATGTAATTTTATAGAGTAGTCAAGGAACAAGTCAAATTTAATTTCTAGAACACCTTATAATGGTCTCTACTGTTAAGTGACCATAATCAGCCTCCACATTTACTTATCAACAATGGGTTTAATCAATATCAAATTTTCATGGGATCAGGTCAGACTTTACCAAAGCATGGTACACAAAAAAATCTGATTAAATAAAAATCTCTGGTTAAAAATAGTACAAAATAGTGAATCAGCATATATGATCTCTTTTCCAATTACAAAACTCTATTGGTTCCACACTTACACTCCGTTATGCAGCACAAAGTAATTTCTAGTTATGTGTAGTGTGTACTACTAAACCAAAAGTTCTTTTTTTTTTTCTTTTTGATAAAGGGTAAGTGACAAAAGCAGGATTCGGGCATAGGACCTTGCAATATTCTGTCAAGATCTTTGCCATCTAAGTTAACTGACACTTTCATACTAAAACCAAAATTGACATAAAGATTCAAAACTACCTGAAACTATAAGCAACAACTCAAGCCAAACTGCCAAAGATGCTAAAAGTTAAAAAGCAAGATTCAATATCAAATCTAGTACGAAGTTTAAAGAGAAAAATACAGAATGCCATGATCGAGAAAAATGCAAGTGACTATAGAATTCATCTAACTAGTGACCTAAAAGAAAGTAGATCATCTAGCAACAAGGCCAAAGATCGTATCAAGCATGACTTGTTTCCGCATGTTGCTCAACATAAAGCTACATTTGGAATTGGATTTTAATTCTGGCAAAAAGGAAAAGGTAGTTGGGGTATTACAAATTCTCATCGTCGTCATTGTTGCAGTTGTTGCTAAGAAGCAAAACGACTGAGATGTGTCCTTGAGCTCCCCAGCTCCTGCTAAAGCTACCATCAAAACTGACATGGAAGAAATCAAATAGAAATACTCCTGACTTTGAAACTGATGCCACGAGGAACAGAGGGTCCTTAAAACAAAGTAGCGAAGCCTCCAACTGTTCTGATGCCTCAAAAACTACAATGTGAATTACAAAGAGGACATGATCTGATGGCCCCAATAAGTTGGCAGAAACCACCTTCTCCAGCTTGTGCTTCGGCAAATTCCACATTTGGACAAATTCAACATGCTTGAATTCCTTAATAAGATTTCCATCTTCGCCATGTGCAGCCATAGAGTTGAGAACATCGATGACACGAGTAATTGTATAATTTAATGCGGCAAGGACATTCCTATAGGCTGCATCTCTCTGAACAAAGGACAAAGATGTGGACTCTAAGAAGGGTCCAAATGCAGAGATTGCTCAAGGCTCCAATTGTAACCCACCTGAGTACTATATTGCAGCAAGCTCCAGGATAGGCGAGTGGGAAAGACACACACCTCTGGTGGACTGAGCCAATGAGCGATCCCGATTATGGATCTGTGTGATCCATAATCTGATGCAGGCACTTCGAATCGCAGCATTCTATCAGCGAGAGTACAATTCTCGAAGAGGAGGCTGGGATGTCAGACTTCATGGACCCAGCAACTGCTATAAGAAAAGATTGGGCACCTCGAGACCGCTAAGGACCATTTAGGAGGGGTCTTCTCCGATTTTGGGTGACCATGGACTGACGCCAGAAGGTGGAACTGTGTGAGACATCGCCGGAGTCACAGGAGTCCGTTTAGGGTTTGGACTGCCAGCCACGATTCAAGAAGTAGATGAAGCATCCGAAGGCGGAGTTCGCATTCTCCTTCTGGACATTCTGCTGGACGACGATTAAATGATTAAGTCGGATTTAAATGATTTTACACACAAAAAGAAAAAAGAATGTTCGGAGATTAATAATCAAATAAATATATTAAAATATTAATGTAATATTTGCAAGATTTAACGTAACTCTCATTTATATCCTCCGAGAAAAATAAATTATATTAATTATAAAATCATTAAATTATGTACAAATTATATATCCTCTCACATAAATAGTAAAAAAATTATATTTTTTTATCCATTTTATAAACTATAGAGAGCAGTCTCTCTTGACATCATAAAGAGATTATTATAAGTTTTTTTTGTCTCAGGAATCCTAAAATATTTATCAATCTCATTATTCTTGCAACACTCATTATTCAATTAAGAAGGACATATTTGAATGCTTTAATCCTAAACAAGCTTGCTAAGAGCTGTCAAGTGGGTAGGTATTGTCAATCTCAGTTGCAGTCAATATCTTTATCTCATTATTAGACCAAGCATTGACAACTAGATTTTGGCCTCATTGCCATTTGATAATTCTTCTTGCAACCAGGAAATTAATTATAAGCCATGATTTTGCTTATAAAAATGAGGCATTTTGAAGTGTCACAATCAAATAATAGAGTGGTTGTGTTTTGTTGTCTAACAGTAGAGGTGAGATGTGGAGGAAACCAAAATGTTGACCTGAAATGGATGATGGCATCAACCAATGACATACAGTAGACTTCTTGGGTGTATATATATGTCTGAATTCAATGAACACTCTTGATGACATCCATGATTTCATATGTCATGGTGATACAATGAATAGATCAGTCAACTCTAAGCTGTGATGCAGACCAGAAAGCAAGTGAGCATGTGATTCCAAGAACTATTGGAACACATGTTTGGATGAGTTAAGAAAGGATTTAGACTGATTAAAATGTTCTAACAGTTCCAACTTGAACATTGATAGGTAGGCTAACTGGGAACAGTAGTTGGAATCTCAAGTCTTTTGGTACAGCTAATTGATGCAGATCCACCTCATTAGTTGACCGATCCATGCACCTTCCCAGTCTTCGGCTGTCTCATCACTGGAAGTGAAATCTTCCTCTTGCTATTATTTTAGTGGTCTGATCATTTGTGGAGCTCATCAAACCCAAATTTTGATTTGGCGCAATGTAATTAGACCGTCCATTGAAAGGTTGGGATGAGAGGACATTTCTGGGCTCTTTTTCTGTGTTTTTTTTGTGGAGATAAATCCTCTTTCATACTCTTATTATAGGTTTGCTTGCAGAGGACAAGTCAAGAATTGTAGAGAGAGAGAGACAGAGAATGGTTTATTGTATATGTCCCATCCACCATGAGCAAACTTCCGTGAATGATTGGTGGACGACGGCGCCGACAGTTGACCGACGGAGGAGGGTATGAAGAAGCTTCACCTACTCGGAGAAACTTCAAACGGGTCTGCGGACTGCGGCTTTGAGGAGAGTTCTCTGATGAGCTAAAAGCTTACGACATGCATGCGCATGCATGTCGCGAACGTTGAAACCCCTTCTATTTCTTCTTCATCTTCTTCCCTCGTTTTGTTTGCCTCTGTGATCTTTGGAGCTGTTGACATCGTGAGACGTATGGCCTGTTAGAGAAGCTCTCGGCTCCAGTCAACGACAGGAAGCTTCTCTTTATAAGGAGAGAAAAGGAGTGCGAGATAGAGGCGGAGGAGATTGCTCGGCCATGCTGGCGTTCAAAGGAGCTGCTGTTAAAGAGGAGGTATGTGCCGCCGATGAACGGAGCGTAGAAGTTGGAAAGGTTTGGCTTCGTCTTCCGCTCTCAAAACCTTTCTTCTTGTTTCAGTGATTTCACTAGGGATGAACAAAGCACAGGAAGCTATTTCCTCTTCATGCATGATTTGTGGAAGATTAGCCATGTCAAGTCCCTTTAGCCCACATATGATTACAAATTCCTGACAAATTAGTGCATCTCCGGACAGTGAAATCGAACTGTTCGTTCGTTGAATTCTCTGCGATCCTAAACACTCTTCACCAAGTCATCTTCTCCAAACCATAGGCATGGATCTTTCAGTTTTCAGTGATTACAGAACTATTCTGTCCTCTCTTATCTCTGCGATTTCATGTTATAATTCGAGAAGAGAAGACCAGCTCTCTTTGTTTGCTTTGTTAAAGATTATGAGTGTCCATTACTTGCTCCAAGATCTAGGAAAAAGATAAACTACCTACCTGATTTCTTGATGTTCTTCAGCAGCCCCGCAATCTGATTTAGCTTTTGATCTTGTTAAAGAGAACTTAAATGATTGGGATTCCAAAGGCCTTTTAGAATCTCAAGTTGGTAGTAGTATGCAAATCTATATCTACTTAGATAGTCATGTTATCAGTCTTCAGCTTCCAGTATAAAGATCACAGCTGCTTCTAATAATGGTTTGATGGTGTAAACCTAATTATGTTTTCTTTGGTTCTTTTTCTTTTTCTTTATTGATTTGTTTGTTTTCTTCAATTCCGTAACGATATAAATATATACATACGAGACCTTCGGACATAATATTCAAAAGAGATGAAATGATTAATGTTAGTGAGACAATTTTTTTAAAATAAAAATTAAATATTCTAAGTTTAACTAAATATATAACTTTCATCGACATCTCCTTAGATCCACTCAGAGGGTGCAACTAATATGCATGAATGAGATTATTTTTTGGTTAATAAATAGCTTTTCCAGACTTGGATATATTCTGCAGAATCACAATGAAACCTCTTTCATTAAGGCTGTAATTTTTATTTGGTATTCATAGGAGGAGCAACTCAAAAATACTAAAACGGAAATGGATGAAGTGAGGGAAGAGAATGATAGATTGAAGACGATATTAGCTCACATTATCAAAGAATACCAGCATCTCCAAAAGCAGTACTTCGATGTAGTTCAGCAAGAGCAATCTAAAAGGCCTCTCGAGACCACCAATCCCAGCGACGTGGAAGAACCTGATGAACTCGTCTCACTGAGCCTTGGAACCAGTTCAACTGGGCAAAAGAAGGAAGACGTGATCAGCACAAAGAAAGAAAGAGAAGAAGATGGAAAAGGTCTCACTCTCGGACTGGGCTGCAGATTTGAAGGAACCAGAAAGAGGAGTCCCGATGAGCACGAGTCAAACCTCTGCTCGGACAGTAGCTCCGAAGAAGCCAACGAAGAAGAGCCAGGGGAGCCACGGCCACCGACCGAGATACTGATGATGAGTCTCGGAACTGGTGATGATGAGGTCCCGCAGCAGCTCCCGGTGAAAAAAGCTCGTGTGACTGTCAGAGCAAGATGCGATGCCCCAACGGTGTGCATTCTCTACAAGATTAATGTCCAATCAACGATTGGAGTTCCTACGTGATCGTGATGTTGATATCAACAAGTTGGGTTTATTGCAGATGATTGATGGATGCCAGTGGCGGAAGTATGGGCAGAAAATTGCGAAAGGGAATCCCTGTCCACGAGCATACTACCGGTGCACAGTTGCAGCGGGATGTCCAGTGAGGAAGCAGGTGACGATTTCTTCCTTCACCGTTAATTTGTCGACGTCATTCTCCATCTTTATGTTCGTATCATGTTTCAGGTGCAAAGATGTGCAGAGGACATGTCGATCTTGATCACCACCTACCAGGGCACCCATAACCATCCTCTTCCGATATCAGCCACCGCCATGGCATCCACCGCCGCCGCAAGCATGCACATGTCGGGCTCATCGGCCTCCGAACAGGGCATGGGGGAAGCCATTGGATCACTGTCGTCCTCCTCCGCCGCAATCACGAGCCTGAGTGGCCTGAACTTTGGCCTGCTGGGGAGCACTTTGAGTGCGAGACAACAATCTTCCTATCTCCCAATTCCTTCACCCTCGCCAGCTTCTTCCTATTCCACCATCACGCTGGATCTCACTGCACCACCGTCATCCACATCCCAACTCAGTCAGCTCGGCAGATTCCCGTGGTACTCCTCCACGAGGTTCAACTTCCCGTCCTCGGAGTCCACCGTACCAGCATCATGGAGCAACGGGTACTTTAGCCATGAGTCTCGTGCATATCACGATAGGCCATCTCAGGACTCGTTCTGTCAGTCGATCCTACAGAAGGCCATTGACACGACTGCAGCTCCTAATCTAAACCAGCATCCACTGGCGGACACGATCGCGAAGGCTATCACGTCGGATCCCAACTTCCAGTCGGCGGTAGCAGCGGCCGTAACGTCGTACGTCGGAGACCACCGAAGCCGAAATGGGAGAGAGGGTGTAACCCATGGCCCTGCTGAAGATTGAAGATCGTTCCATCTCTAAGATTTGATTTAAAGTTATCTAGATAATTATCATGATATAATAGTTATATGATAGTTTCAATAACTACCTCAATCATGGGTGACATGGTGATATGGATAGTTACCACTAGATCCTATAAATAGGACCTGGTGATATGGATAGTTACCACTAGATCCTATAAATATGACTATAGTTCATGAAGTAAGGTATATAATAGTAATTACCACTAGATCCTATAAATAGGACCATAGTTCATGAAGCAAGGTATATAATAGTGCGTGCATTTGAAAATATCTTGTAAGTGTTAAAACTTGGGAGCTAATGGATGTATCGAAAAAAAATAAAGTTATTGGGTTAAAATGGGTGTTCAAAATAAAGTTTAATGTAGATGGAAGTATCAAAAAGCATAAAGTTCAGCTTGTAGTAAAAGTATATTCACAACAATAAGATATTGATTTTGATGATACTTTTATCTAATTGTTAGATTCGAAACTGTCAAAATTTTCTTGGCTTTAATTGCCCACTTGAGTTGGCATGTTTATCAATTTGATATGAAATCTGCGTTTTTAAATAGAGATTTACACGAATAGGTTTTTGTTACTTAATCTGAAGGTTTTTTTGTTAAAAAACATGAAGAAAAGGTGTATAAGCTAAGAAAAGCTGGCTTCAACGAGTTCGAAGGCATGTTATTATTTGGCATACTACTCTTTATTGAATATAATATTAATTATTATTTTATTCAAAATAGATTTAAAAGGAGCAATAATATATCTACTCTTTATTAAAAAAAGAAGGTGAACATAATATTCTAATGGTTTGCTTCTATGTTGACAATATTATATATATAGGTTCATATAATTCTTCTGTAGTAGAATTTAAAAAATGCATGATGAATAGTTTTGAAATGTCATATCTAGGTCTATTGTACTATTTTCTTGAAAGTGAAGCAAGTATACAATGGATCTACTAAAAAAATCTAACATGATTAATTGTAAAGTTGCAGCTACACCCATAAATGTAAATGAAAAATTAAAACTTAAAGATGGTACAAGTCTGACAAACGCAACATACTATAGAAGTTTGGTTGGAGGTTTGATTTATTTAACTAATACTCGACTAGATATTACATTCTCTATTGGTGTAGTATCCAGATTTATGCATAGCTCAAGCAAACATCATCTCGGAGCTGTTAAAAGAATTCTGTGTTATATTGCTGGAACTACAGATTATGGTATTTGGTATCTCATAATTTTAATTGTAAATTATTTGGTTTCACTAATAGTGATTGTGCAGGAGCTTTAAATGATCGAAAGAGTACTTCAGGTAATATTTTTAGCCTCAAATTGGGAGCTATATCTTGGAGTTCTAAAAAGCAAGCAACAACTGTATTATCGACATCGAAAGCAGAATATGTAGCCGCAACATTAACAGCTTGTCAAGCAATATGGCTTAAAAGACTTCTTGAAGTTCTAAAAAGCAAGCAACAACTGTATTATCGACATCGAAAGCAGAATATGTAGCTGCAACATTAACAGCTTGTCAAGCAATATGGCTTAAAAGACTTCTTGAAGATCTTTATCAAGAACAAAAAAAAGCAACATAAATATTTTATGACAATAAAGCTACAATTGCAATGATGAAGAATCCAATATTTCATGGAAGAACGAAGCATATAGAGACGCTATTATTTCATCTGAGATCTTGTAGCAAGTAGAGCCATAACAATAAAATATTATGGAACAGATAAACAAGTTACGAATATCCCCATCATGTCGCTTTCAATTCAAAGGTATATTTATTTTATGTCGTAAATCGATGTATGCAACTATGAATCAAGGGGGAGTGTTGAGATTTGATTCATAGTTATCTAGGTAGTTATCATGATCTAATAGTTATAGGGTAGTTATCTAGGTAGTGATATGATGATATGGGTAGTTACCACTAGGTCTTATAAATAGGGCCATAGTTCATGAAGCAAAGTATATAAAGAGTGTGTGCACCTGGAAATATTTTGTAAGTGTTCTTATCAATCCTCCTGTTTTAAATACTACAATAGCATTCTGTTTTTTCCTTACCCCTTCATCCCCAACACTAACTCCTCAGTTCCACACTTACCCGCTGCAATGCTGATTGCGAATGCTTGTGCATCGAGCTAACACTTCGAGTTTAAGCCATCCGAACTTGTTCTTCCTTCAGCCATCACCGAACTTTTCCGGCTCAAAGAGTGCCTCTGTCAAGATGGTGGAAGCATAAATCGACGACCATATGTAGCTTCAGATTTATTTTCTAGTATACTTAAAATCATATTAAAAAATAAAATATTTAAATCATATTCATATTTAAGCATCTATCGGAATTAAAACTAATCCAATCCGAATCGATTCATTAAGAGTTTGATTTTGAAAACTATAAATGATTTTAATTTAAAATATTTTGTACTTTAATTAATTGATTTAAGTTGAATCAAATTAATTTTAATTTAAAAAATATCAATCCAATTAAAAGATCTCAAAAACTGATGTTGACCTAATTTTAATATTATAGATATTAACAATTAGATTCAAACGGATATGAACATTCCTGGTAAGTTTCCAGACAGGTTCCGAATCTCGATTCTTATCTCTACGTCATCGCTTCAGTTGCACGTTGTCTCGTCTCTGATGAGCTTAGACCGGTCCTGGAGACAGTCAACTGGCCACGTCAACGTTCCTTGGTCAACAAGACAGATGCTGAGAGCGAGGGAGTAGGTCTCTGGGCAGATCCCACTTCTATCTCGATGCGTTTGTCCTCGTCCTCCTTCCTTGGGCACGAAGGAAAAGGTTTTTGAGTGGGTCCCGTCACGGACGGACAGGTTGATGGTGTTTGACACTTGTCGTCACGTCTATTTTGACAACGAAATCGCGTGTGACTGTGACAAACCATTTCTCCTACTCGGGTCGATTGCAAGCCACGCTTCGCTTCCGATCGACGCATCATACAGAATGAGAACAAGTGGATGACATCAGATGGTTGGTCTATATGCATCAACCATCGTCCGCCCGGGACTCATCATCTCATGGAAGGAGCCGGAGGCACCAAGCTCAGCCACCACCATTACGATAGCAGACCAGCAGCACCGCCGGACGGCGATGTCTGCTCCAGTTTGCTCTGCAGCCTTCTCAACAAATCTGCCTTGCTCTACCTCAGCATCAACGTCATCGTCTCCGCTTACCATTCGCGCAGCACCCCATCGACGCTAACCTTCATCCTTTTCTCTTACTTCGACCTGCTGTCTCTCTTCTTCTGCCTCAGGCGGTTCGAGAGGCTTGGTCCGGGCAGCTCGCCGGAAAAGAAAGCGAGGATGAAGGCGGCTATTTGGCTGCTGGCCACGGCGCTCAACCTCGCTTTTGCTTGGAGAGTCTCCGGGACCGTGCCATGGCAATTAGCAGCTGCCGTATGGGCCTTATCAGGATGCGTTGCTATTGGCGGATTCTATGGCTTCTTCCTGTACAAAGAGCATGCTTAGTATTGGCCTCTTGAAGTATAAATTAAATGCAAACCATATATGTGCTCGGATAATGATCGATCCATATTATGGTGCTTCTTTTGCTACGTTCTTGTGAACGATCATGTTGGTCTTTCTACATAAATTGACAATGAATATGTGATTATACTACTTTTTTTAGCGTTATATATATATATCGCAATGACAAATTCGTATCTTTTTTACAATAAGAATTTTGGTTGATCAATCATTAATCCGAACATTTCGTCGAAGCGATGTTAAAGCAACAAAAAAGGATCGTATGTGCATGCGTTTCGTTTCGTGGCATTTCATCAGCGGTGACGAACATTTTGTTGTCAATGGAATCTGCAGTCAACGCGTTTATGGGAATGCAACTATATATATTCTTCTTGCTGCCTTCCCATGCCCATCCGGAATCAGCTGCCTCGCTCAACCATGGAAGGAGTCGAACACAAGCAGCAGGGACATCAGGGCGATGACAACCCTCCACCAGTGCAGGCGGCCCAACACGGTGGTGCTCGTGGCAGTTGGCTACTCGACCCCGCAATCCTTGCTCTGCTATTCCTCAGCGTCAATGTCGCGATCGGCGTCTACAGGTCGCGCGGTGACCTGTCAACGTTGGCCTTTCTGTTCTTCTCGTATTTCGACCTGCTCCTGCTCTTCTTCTGCCTCAGGAGGTTCGAGCGGCTCACTGCGGACGCCCGGCCGGAGGAGAAGAGGAGGCTTAAGGTGACTGTTTGGCTTCTGTCGACCGCTCTCGTGGTGGCTTTCAGCTGCAGAGTCTCGGAGGTAATGCCATGGGCTTTAGCGGTTTTGGTTTGGGTTATGGCGGGATCCGTCACAGTTGGCGGATTCTACGCTCTCTTTCTGTTCGAGGAGAAGGATGATAAGAGGGAACGATGATGTTCTTCGTCCCTCTTCCATCTCTCTCTCTCTCTCTCTCTCTCTTCTTCTCCGTTTTCTCCCACCGACTCAACCTCGATCTCCATCGCTGAGCTTGCAACCCGGAAGAAGCCACGCAGCCACCGCCTCCGAGGAGAAGGATGATAAGAGGGAACGATGATGTTCTTCGTCCCTCTTCCATCTCTCTCTCTCTCCGTTTTCTCCCACCGACTCAACCTCGATCTCCATCGCTGAGCTTGCAACCCGGAAGAAGCCACGCAGCCACCGCCTACGAGGAGAAGGATGATAAGAGGGAACGATGATGTTCTTCGTCCCTCTTCCATCTCTCTTTCTCTTCTCTCTTCTTCTCCGTTTTCTCCCACCGACTCAACCTCGATCTCCATCGCTGAGCTTGCAACCCGGAAGAAGCCACGCAGCCACCGCCTCCGAGGAGAAGGATGATAAGAGGGAACGATGATGTTCTTCGTCCCTCTTCCATCTCTCTCTCTCTCTCTCTCTCTCTCTCTCTCTCCGTTTTCTCCCACCGACTCAACCTCGATCTCCATCGCTGAGCTTGCAACCCGGAAGAAGCCACGCAGCCACCGCCTCCGCAAAGCAAACAAGATAACGTGTCCCAGCAGCACCGCCTCTCCCTCAATTACTCGTCTTTTACTACATGGACTTTGTAAAGTGACGTGCATGGCTCTCGAGAGACACGTGCATGTCCAAGTGTGCTTGTCGCAGTAAGGGTTGATGTAAAATAAATCGATTGTATCATCTCGCATTTGGTTGTATTGTTGTATTAATTTTATTGTAATAATTTATTATCAGAGACTTTGCTGGTCAGCGTATTATTTTTTTATCTTTATATAAGTATTTTTATGTAATCGATCACAAGTAATTAAGATTTATAATTTTATTGTTATTGTTATTATTGATAGTCTGTTTGCTAGAACACCATTTGAAATGAAGCTAAAATTAACTAAATAGCTAGTTGAAGAAATGAAGATAAATAATTACATATGTATCATTATTATAATAAAATACAAACACGAAATTAATTTCTCTATTATCATCCTCTCTCACTAAATTATCTAACTCTAAATGACTAGGTCGGTGGTGATAGCTTGCGTATCCGATGCATCAAATTATTCTAGAGGATAATTTCTATGTAAAGAGAAATTCATCGCAGTGTGTATAAACCAATTGAAATTTTTGGCAAATATGTTTAATCCATAATAAATTCGATGTCTTGAAATGTACGTCTTCCTTGCCTTGCAAGTCAAGTTTCGTTGCCCTATATATTAACCTAGCTCCAAGCTACCATTCTCTTGCCAGTCTCCTCTGTTCATCATGGAAAGTGATCATCGTGATCGAGCACCATCACCACCACCTCAAGAAAGAGGTGACGAACATGATCTTCTCACTTGGCTCTTAAACAACCCGCTGCAGGCCTTCGCGCTGCTCTTCCTCACCTTTAACGTGGCCGTCTCCGCCCGCACGTCCCTCGGCGACCCCTCCACGCTGTCCTTCGTGCTGTTCTCCTACGTCGACCTACTCCTGCTCTTCTTCCTCCTCAGGAAGTTCGAGCAGCTCGGCCCCGGCGACTCGCCGGAGAAGAGAAGGCGGATGAAGGCGGCCGTGTGGCTGCTGACCGCCGCGCTGGTACTTGGTTTCAGCTGGAGAGTTGCCGGAATCATGCCGTGGGGCTTGGCCGCTGTGGTCTGGGTCATGGGAGGCTCGGTCATCGTTGCTGGCTTCTATGGCCTCTTCCTGCACAAGGAACATATGTAGAGGAGACGAACTCCGTTTCCGGCGACTGAACCATTGTATACCGTCCTGCAGTTATCTCATCAGTCACCATAGTAATTCCATAATACTGTCGTTGCATGGACTTCTTTTCTTAGTGTGTGGCACACATGTAGTTGAATTATTTCTTTCTTGATTTATAGCTTTCATCTTTTCTCAATGAAACTTACGATGCAAGTGTTATTAAGTGGAAAAGGCATCATTGTGCTCCTCATAAGATGTTGGATAACAGTGGAAAAGGCATCATCTCTCCAACTCTGTATTCTTCTCCTGGCTTCTATGGCCTCTTCCTGCACAAGGAACATATGTAGAGGAGACGAACTCCGTTTTCGACGATCGTCCTGCAGTTATCTCATCAGTCACCATAGTAATTCCGTATTACCATCCTTGCATGGATTCGTGTGTGGCACACATGTAGTTGAATTATTTCTTTCTTGATTAATAGCTTTCATCTTTTCTCAATGAAACTTGCAGTGCAAGTGTTATTAAGTGGAAAAGGCATCATTGTGCTCCTCAGAAGCGCAGGAATCAATCTTACTTTTGCCACAATATCAACGGGAATCATGTTCTTGATGAATGGAACAAAAAATTAATTACTCTCAAAAGCTAAAGAAAGGACTCTTATGTTTCTCTCAAAGAAACAACTCTATGCTTCTCTCGTCCAGTAATGTAAAGATCTAGAATGAGAATTATCAGGAATAGCCCCCAAGAAAGCGTCGTCCGTTGATTCAAACATCAACGGCTCAGATCAGATACTGGGAGTCTCCTACACATTGTAAGGAACAATACGAAGGGCGTACAAATGGGGAAAGAGGGGTTTCTCGTAAAAAGCTCGACGGTTAGGGTCAGGGTGTAAAACTAGTCCCTAATGCGTATAAATATCGTCTAAAGAAGCAAGAAGGGGGAAGAAGGCATTGGAAGATGGCGGAGGGTCAGTGCATCGAGCGCTTCAAATCGCAACCGCGCCTCCCCGGATTCGCCATTCCGAGGCGATATGATCTCTTCCTCAGGCCCGATCTCTCCTCCTGCAAGTTCGCCGGGTCCGCCCAGATCGCCGTCGACGTCGTCGACGACACCAGGTTCTTGATCCTCAACGCCGCCGACCTTGACATCGATGGCGGCTCCGTATGGTTTAGGAATCCGAGCTCCTCTAAGGTGATCTTGAATCCGCTTGCAATATTTTTCTTGGGAAGAAATTGAATTGTGAGATCATTGGATTGTCTCAGGAGGTCCGGCCGTCGGAGGTCGTTCTGGTGGAGGACGATGAGATCTTGGTGCTCCGGTTTGATGAGTTTCTTCCCCGTGGTAGCGGCGTCTTAGGTATTGGCTTTCGAGGAACGCTGAACGATAGGATGAAAGGGTTCTATAGGAGGTGATGCCCTTGCCCTGTATCGCCTCTTTCCTTCCGTTTTAGGGGTTTGTTATTTATTTATTGATTTTCCTTTCTCAGCGTGTATGAGCATAATGGGGAGAAAAAGAACATGGCTGTCACTCAGTTCGAACCTGCTGATGCTCGACGATGTTTCCCGTGTTGGGATGAGCCCGCCTTTAAGGTTAAGTTGCCTTTCTCTTTTTCCGTATCACTGATTCGTTGCAAGGGTAATATCTTTCAAGACTTGCAAACTCTGTCCTAAGCATGCTGCTTAAATTTATGAAAAAAATTAGGTCTGTTTGAAAGTTGGATGTGGGTATGTTTTTGGTCGAAAAACAACTTCACCCAACTTTCATCAGATCTACGTAGCGCTAGCCATTGATAAACTTTGGTGCATCCATCCTTTGCTTCACTTAGGTGTACAAGAACGCATTTGATCTTGTAAGGTTGTAGAACATTTCGTCAAGAAGAAGAAAAACCTTATCATTTAAGACCTCAAGATGTTACAAAGATTTCGTCACTTATGTCCTTTATCCCTTGTGCTTTATATATATGTGAAATATGATGCATATACATTGATTCATTAAAATTGTCTGCACTGCACAATAACGACCTTTTGTTTAATGTGTATATTTGCACATGTTGGTTGCCTTTCATCATAAACAAATCTCCCATGATTGCTTCCCGGTCCCTAGTGTTGTGGTGATCAGCAATAAAGTGCTGCGAGAAACTGAGAGGACAAGATGACACCCACATTTTTTATTTACAAGATAATTGTGATTGTCCATAAAACATCATGCTGGCTTTCGCAACAGTCTAGAGCAAAAAAATGGTGAGTGACACTTCAATGGTTCTTGTGGAGTTCCTTTTTTCCCAAAAGAAAATTTTATGACCCAGACCCCACATTGGCGGGAGCCCCATGCACTGGGGTTCGCCCTTTTTTTGAAAAATATATATGACCCAACCGTAGCTTGTGTTGCAGTGGGTTAGTATTATCACTGTAGAATTCTCCTACTATATGTAATCATAGCTCCCATGAGCTGTCTGTTCTAATTTTACACCACATTGTTGATAAATAAAACTTATCACAAACTTCATCTAGTATTTCCTTGAATCAATTTACGCATGAGGATAACATCTAGGAAGAAGATCTTTATCACCTTTAACCTACCACTTGATTTTTTTCTACAGCTTAGACGACTAGGACTGGATTGACTCATATACGTAGGACACAGTATACACCCTTCTTTATTTTTTATTCTCTCAGTTCTGAAAATATATCTTGGCTGAGTAACTGAATGTTTTTATTCACTAAGGCTTGCTTTGGTAATATATGGTTGGCATGTAACATACAATAGACATAAGAGGCAAGGCTTCTCGAATATTATTGAACCTCTTATCCTGACTAAGTTGTGGTTTACTCTAATTTAATGGTACCCTTGTTGTAGTTTATCTATACATATGCCTGTTTTTTCTACTACCCTTACGACAGGACTTTCTGTTTGACCTTCATTTTTTTTCAGGCCACATTTAAAATGACATTGGAAGTGCCATCTGATACCATAGCTTTGTCAAATATGCCCGTTATGGAAGAAAAGCTTGATGGCCTTGTCAAGACTCTTTCTTTTCAGGAATCACCGATTATGTCTACATATTTAGTAGCTCTTGTTATTGGCTTGTTTGATTATGTGGAAGCCTCAACCTCTGATGGTAAGGGCCTTAGTATAACTTGGAATTTTTGTTTTCTCTTATGGTTAAGTATAGGGAGTTAGCTAATCATGTAACTGATTATGCTTGCACAGGGATAAAGGTTCGAGTGTACTGTCAAGTTGGGAAGAGTAGCCAAGGAAAGTTCGCTTTAGACGTTGCTGTGAAGACACTGGATTTATATAAAAAGTAATGCTGTCAAATTTGTGTTCATATTTACTTGATCTTATGGCTTCTATGTATTTGGCATGCTTGCTGTTGAGGTGCTCTGATTCTTGCCGAGCAAATTTACATAGACAGTAGTGCTTATCTTTATCAGTTGATGCTTATATAGCAGAATTCAGTAACCATAATCTTAAGTAAATATCATCAGATACTTTGCTGTCCCATACTCACTTCCAAAATTGGATATGGTTGCTATTCCTGATTTTGCTGCTGGGGCTATGGAGAACTATGGTTTAGTCACATATCGAGAAACAGCATTGCTGTTTGATGATCGCCACTCTGCAGCCTCAAATAGACAACGGGTAGATTCTATGCATTTGTTTTTTTGTCCTCATTCTTGATTCATGTTCTAATAACTGATTTTTTATGCATTGGGTAATAAATTATTTTGTCATTTTACTGGTTACTTTCGGTATAAACTCATATAGGAAATAGTGAGCAGCATCTTTTATTTAATATGCCCATAACAATATTAACAAATAAAAAAATTCTTTAGGTGGCTATTGTTGTAGCTCATGAGCTTGCACACCAGTGGTTTGGGAATCTTGTAACAATGGAATGGTGGACTCACTTATGGCTAAATGAGGGGTTTGCGACATGGGTATTTGAATTTTGCTTTTTATTTGTCATACATAAAACTCATACATTGCACTTCTAATGGAATAATTACTGTTTTGCTCTCTTAATGCCCAAATGGTTACAGGTCAGCTATCTAGCAGCAGACTCCTTGTTTCCTGAATGGAAAGTTTGGACCCAATTTCTTGATGAGACCACCATGGGGCTTAGATTGGATGCACTTGCTGAATCTCATCCTATCGAGGTAACATTTCAATTATTCGTGTCACTAGATTTTTGAGAGGGTTGCATGGATTTTCAGTGCTACACACAACTTCATACATGTAACATAATAAATGATATTGTGATCATCGTTTTAGATGATCTTGTGATTGACTTTTTTGTTTCACAAAACCTGGAAATGGTACTTTGGAATTTCATATAATTAAGTGGTTCTAAATTGAACATATCCTGTTAGTGTGCACTAAACTATTGTTGTTTCAAGCAATTGCTTTGGATCCCAGCATCTGGTTGGTAAACAACCTTACAATTCTAGACAATCTTTGTCCAGATCATTACATATGGATATGCATTCATAGTCCACATATGCGAGAACATATGAAAAGAATGCAGGGCCAAGCAAGTGCCAATGTATGTAGACTTACCGTTGCAAGCAGGAAGATTCTTTCCATGACGCAAGCACCAGTCACCCAGATCAAAAAAGAGCAACTTACTAATACACCGAGATCCACACTACATATATATGAGTAAATAAACATTAAGATATTGAATACTTCTTGGAGTGGACATATGTCTCCTGTCTGGTTATGATAATAATAAGATGGATCATGCTATTATCATCTTGATCTTTTATTATATTATACTTTTACAATCTACTTGTAAATTTGCTATTTGTTTGTTAACCCAAATATAATGGATTATCTTAATTTTGAGTATTTTGCAGCTGCAGCCTGGGCTATTCCTTGGGCTATGGCTTCTTTAGGCTTATTGATAGCATGGTGTGTTGTATGGAATAATCCGATTCCAAAATCCTATACATCAAATTTAGTTTGGGTTACTTTGACCATTGTGCATAAACTCAGTTAAACAAGCCTTTTATGGCTATTGATCCTAAATAGCATATATAGCTCGATCCAGTCCAATTTTGATTTTTGCCGAAATGGACAACCCTGATTTTTTAACCATTTACATGGTGGTGATATGATAGTGGCTAATTGAACTTATTTTGTCGCTTGGAATTTCTGATTGTTTTGACCAATCCAATGGCAACTGATGGTAATAGTAGGAAATGCCATTCTGGTTAGTGTTATTCTTCTTGCTGACAAAACTGGGGTTGATAAAATGTTTCTTTTTAATACTAACACTGACAGTAATTAGTTCCAAGCTCTAACACAATGATGTTGCAATGCAAATAACTATAATAATCAGCACAGATTTAGATATTTTATTGTTAGTTTTGCTACATATGATGATGTTGCAATACAAATAACTATAATAATCAGCACAGGTTTAGATATTTTATTATTATTTTTGCTACATAAGGATGTGTAAAGCCTTGGTAGTAATTTCAGTAATTATTTGGTGTGTTCACCAGAGTTTTACGACACATTTAATATTTAAAAAGTTTGGTAAAGATCTTTTTGTATGACATTTAACTGTTTAT